CACCGGTTAGCCGGAAATGTTAAGTCAGTCAAGAGAAGATTTGCCATGCGCGTACAGAAGTGACCCGGTTTAGTTAAGCGAGTTCCCCAGGCTGAACACTATTGAACGGGAGCCCCGACCGGCGTCATCGTCCATCATTGGCCCAGTATCGTATCTGTTACCATTTCAGATGAAAGTGCATGATCATCCAATGAGAGTCTCGATCAGGGATTACAGAGGGCGATCCATAGGGCTACTGCACAGCTTTGGCCCCTATCACATCCGAGCGTTTAATGGAATTGCCGGTGGAGATGTATTCCGAGCTGACTGCAAAAATCTGCGCAGTTGGTCATTAGTATCTGCCGCGGCAGAGACTGTCTAGTATTCTACTCCAACATACAAGTCGGCGTCCTCGGATCTGATTACTACCTTGATTTGCAATATAATTGCTGCTGATCCAACGTAAACGTCAGGATTGGAGCTGATTGGGTGGGGACCGAAGGCAACCTCAATGGTTGGAGTTCCTCAGCAAGTAAGCGAAGGCAACCCTCCCGCCTTTTCCGGTCGTAGGATCATTGCTAAATTGAATCGGTATGTCACAGATATCCGCATCGTAGCGCATCCATCAAGATTTGACAAGGAGGGTAGCCGCTAGAGGCACGTGGATCAGATCGGCACCATGCTTGTGTAACCCTTTCCTAAGTTATTTTATATTGCACCACCCTTCTGCTCCATTACAACACCTTCTCAGCTTTATCGTCCTTTGCAGCTTCAAAGCATAAGCCCCGATGACGGAATCTAGCCAAGATGTCCGAGGCTATCTTGGATTTCTATCCCGAGTACGCCGCCACCGAGAAACTTGACCTGCTACGACAATCCGCCTACGGCTACTCATACCTCGACGAGCAAGGCCACGTATATCTGGACTATGGCGGCGCCGGCCTGGCATCTCGAGCCCAAATACAGGCCCATAGCTCCCATCTAACTGGAGTGACACTCGGCAACCCCCATTCCGTTAACCCCACCAGCCGAACGTCGAGCGAGCTCATTGACAGAACGCGTGCAAAAATACTCAGCTTTTTCAACGCTTCCCCCGAAGAATATGCCGTTGTGTTCACGCCCAACGCATCCGGGGCGGCACGCCTAGTTGGGGAGTCATATCCTTTTAGGAAACACTCCAGACTCGTTATGACGGCCGATAACCACAACTCTATACACGGGCTACGCTGCTTTGCCCACAAAAGTCGAGCTACTCACGTTTACGTCCCGATGACGAACAAAGATGAGCTTCGTACTAACACGAAAGCCGTGGAAGATGCCTTGCCATCCTTGAAAGAGCGACGCTTATTCAAGCGGTCAGGTCCCAGTCTCTTCGCATTTCCCGCCCAGAGCAACTTCAGCGGCGTGTGTCATCCCCTCTCTTGGGCGAAGCTCGCTCAGGACCGGGGCTACGACGTGCTACTAGACGCCGCGGCGTATCTCCCAACCAAGAAGTTGGACTTCTCGGTTATCAAGCCCGAGTTTACAATTGTCAGCTGGTACAAGGTCATGGGTTTCCCTACTGGTGTCGGATCTCTGATTATACGGAAGGATGCCCTGGCTCGCTTGCAACGACCTTGGTTCTCTGGCGGCACAGTCAAGGCTGCCAGTGTCAGTCTCCCCTGGCAGCTCATGACAACCGATGAGTCTTCTCTCGAGGACGGAACACTCAACTTCTGGGCTATTCCAGACATTCATATCGGTCTTGATTGGCTTGGTGAGGTCGGAATGGACATGATCTCACTACGTGTACAGTGTCTTACAGGATATCTCATTCGCAAACTTATGTCTCTTCACCATACCGATGGCCGACCGATGACGCGATTATATGGCCCACAAAATACGGAAAACCGAGGCGGAACGGTTGCATTCAACCTGCTTGATTCAAATGGTCAGATTTTTGATGGCCGAATAGTAGCCAAGGAGTCCGCTGCATATGGCATCTCGCTCCGTACGGGGTGCTTTTGCAACCCTGGGGTAGGGGAGGCCGCCTTTGGCGTTACCAAGTCCGCGCTTGAGCCACTGAAGAAAGTCAAGGGCGACCTATCCATGGACGAGATTCTAGAAATCATCGGGCTCAGCTCGTTTGGGGCGATTCGGGTATCCTTGGGTATCGCGTCCACAGTCAAGGACGTCGACCTTTTTCTCACTTTTGCTGAGAAGGTGTACAAGAATAGATTGAATGACACTTCGGGACTTGAGCCTCGAAGTGGTTGCTGATTGGCTCGAATTCCGAATTAGAGTGGGAGATTGATATCTGGATCATCTGGGATGACTTCGGAGTTTGGCATGGATAAAACAAGGTGCATGTAGTCATCAGCGAGCGATTCATTTATTAGCTTGATTTAAAATCATACGATGTACTTTTTCTGGGTTTCAAATTTATATCCAGACTGTAAAAAGAGATTACCACTTTATAATACATTGGCCATGACTTAAAATCTTGGCTTTACGCAGCGTCGTGGGTTTTATCTTCAGCCCACTTATACAATAGATCAGTTCGAACTGTGAACTTCTCACCTTTGAATACCTCATTTCCCGCATGAAGGAGTCCTTTATGCTGGAAGATCAAAACGCTGCCCGCTCTGGGATTCACGTCCATCCGACGTTGCTTGTCCCATGACAGAAAGCTCGTGGCACCACCCTCAAGCTCGCTTTCCGGTGATACCTCAGCTGAATCATTCAGGTAAAGATGAAATGTGTATTGAGTTTCAAACCGCGTCCCATTCTCCTCATAGTAATAGGGACCATCGCAATGCGCTGAGAATGGTTGGTTAGTAAGTGTGCAACACCAGCTCCGAGAACCGATACAACTTACGCCTAAAGTATTGACCAGGGGAGTATCTTAGGAAGCGCATTCTCTTGTTTATATGGCTAAACTCCCATCGTCCAGGATTTTGACCAGACCGGTGTCTCATAACAGCCAGCTGGTCTTTCAATCCCTCAGCTTGGCAACAACGTGCCCACAAACGCTCAGTAATCTCTTGGCTATCCCAAACGATCCGATCGCTCTCTCTATACCCCGGAGCAGGAGCCTCGAGGCCGGGCGCGAGCGATACCGTGGCAGGTCGCCAGACGCTCTGGTCGGGGTCGCCATCGGCAGCCGGGAGCGCCGATTGTTCGGCAAGGTGTTTCAGCTGAGTGCACTCCTCTGGCGAGAGCACATTGTCAATTGTAACGGCGAAGCATTTCTTATATTCCGGCACGGGAGAAGATGCGAAAGGGACAGGTTTCAACACGACGGGGGTTGGTGAAGGGCCCTGGAGGAAATTGTCAGGAATTCTGACCTCGTTCGACTTGTACTTCACGACACGGGCTTTTTGTAGGTGCGCCATTCGATAGTGCACCAGTGGTTGACACACAAATCGTCTAGGAATGGCAAATGGGTAAGCAGCAGAAGGGAGAGGTCTCATTTCCAAACAACCACCAACTGACTTTGCGTGGGATGAATGGAAACACATCAATTGAGAGGAAGGGGAAGAAGGAAGGAAAAGAAATCAGGGTTGCCTGAATTCAGTTGCCAACAGCATAAGATTATCCATCAGACGATCACGTTGGTTACTGCGCCTCAAAGCCACCTGTGGATGAGGCTTCACAGCGGGGAAACACTGAGCAATGCCCCATGATGACTCAATTTACAGGCGGCCTTGCCTGGAAGCAACGCCTCTTTATTACATGTACTAACCCAGCTTACTCACCCAATTGACTCTCAATGATTTAATGCAGACATTGCATTGGACTGGTCTCATAATGTGCGATGAGATAGGAAATTGTGTACAATTAGCCGACTTCAATCATTTATTAAACATCAGGGACTTAGAATATTGAAATCTGATTGAAGGTTTATTTGTTTTTGACCTGCGAATTGCAGAGCCCACGGTCTAATACCACCCCCCAGATTCATACGGATTGAACGGTCGAATCTGGGTTTTCGAGTTGTATTTCCTTTGTAATTGAGGCTTGAGCTGCGTTTATGGCTTTCGAGCCGTGTTTGTTGGTTTGAGAGTTCTTTTGTTTATTGGTTTGAGAGTTCTTTTATTTGTTGGTTTGAGATTTTCTTTCTTTCGTACACTCTCGGAAGCAGGGTTCTGAACCGCAAGGCCTATCCAAGTTTGTATATACCTGTGATTTTACACTTGGTCTCAGCTAGGAATTTTTTATCCTTGGCTAAGGGTTTTTGTGCCAGATACATAGGTTGGAAAGGTTTAGTCACAGCTCGTTTGGTCTGTTCCAAGCTCGTATGATTGAAAGGAGCTCTATTCGTCTGTTGGAGACTTGTTTCTTTCCTGAACGCTGCGCTAAATGCAGCGGTTTCGTAATAGTTATTATCGATCGCGGCTTTATTCTGTTTAGTTAAGTTAGTAAAGTACGATGACTTGCTTGTTCATGAGTTCCCGGGTTGTTCTCCTCGGATGAAGCATGCTTTATCCGATCGCGCTTCGGATTGCCGGTTTGAAACTCGAATTTACAATCGCCTTAAAGAAGAGCGACTCTGGGACTCTTAATTGTTCAAACACGCAGCCTGCAACAGCCCGATCGCAGGCGTCTCGCAGGCGTCTCGCAGGCGTCAAGGAAGAAAGTTCAATGATCGAATTGTGTTCCAACTGGCATCTCCGGGGGTTCCGGAGGGTTATTTCTAGTTACAGGTGCGGTCACATGACCTCAGTTGCTTCCTTGACGCAAGAGGCGCGTTTGTGGCTTTTAACCTGCGAATCGCAGAGCGACAAATTTTACGGCTCTCAACAGTGGACTTTGGTATGGATGTTTCGCCGCATCTGAGCCCAGTTCCCGAAAATGGGTTTAGGGTAGCTCGAATGGAGACGGAGTTTGTCCGTCCTCCACAAAATCTTGACGCAATATCTTCTCCGTCTTCGGAATTTCCCCGCTATCAATACTCTCTGGCAACCTACTGTCAGAGCTGAACGAACAAGAAGCCTTGATCCTGTCCCGATAACGTGGGGATATCCATTTATATCACATCAATGTCCGAAAAGACCCCAGATAAACGGGAATCCCGTCGAAATCGCCGTCTCCGCTTGGCATGTGCCCGTTGTCAGAAGCGGAAGATCCGTGTCAGTATTCACAAGAGTGAGAGCAAGTGTTTGAAGCGTGTAGGCTGACCAATATTTACAGTGTGATGGCCAGTTTCCTACTTGTAATAATTGCAAAAAGGCCTCGGTTGTATGCAGTGATGGCGACAGTCTCCGTCTCGGCCATGTGCCGTCAGATGATGAGGTCGTCGCTGGCTTGAAACAACGGATAGCCACGCTGGAGGCAGCGCTTCAAGAACGAGGGATTGAAGCAAGTGATCCACTGATTTCAGAGAAGGACCCATCTTCTACACTACCGGTATCATCGACGCCTGCTCCTCGGTCCCATGCACCTGCGTTTGGAAGCACCAGCAGCCCACTGTCGCATGAAATCGGGTTGGTATCGGTTGGTAACAGCACCGCGCCACGATATATTGGGCCATCGAGTGGTTACTTCCTTGCTAGGTTGTTGATGAATACCTCGCGAAGTGGTATAGGCGAGAATGATCGAGCAACCAATCCTCTGGATGGCCAAGGGCAAACTTCTCGTTCTGAATTCACCCCCGATCTTTTCGGCTCTCCCCACGACAACCAAACTCCCCTTCCCCACCAGAAGCACGCAAAGCAGCTATGTGATGCATATTTCAGCGCAGTTGGCTCACAGTATCCGATTCTGCATCGTCCTTCGTTGATGCATAACCTCGATCAACTGTATGCCAAGGATGGGACTGATAACCAGCAAGATAACATCGTCGTTTTCCAGGTGTATATGGTATTGGCCTTGGGTGCCACGGTCTTATCACATCGGCTTCAAGTTCCTCTTCCAGCGGACAAATACTTCGCGACTGCGTTCAGTCGGTTTGAAAAAATCAATTCCACTCGCACAAACTCTTTACCAGGCTTACAGTGTCTACTTCTGTTGCTCGTATTTACAATGCACAACCCCCATGTTAAATTGAATATTTGGTATCTCAACTACCAGTGCATTGCTGCCACACTGGACTTGGGCCTTCAGAGAAGCATATTGGCAAGTAACGCGATGTCCTTGTTGGAGCAGGAAATGCGGACTAGGGTCTTCTGGGTTGTTTTTATGCTTGACCGAACGATTGCTACCATCATGGGCCGCCCAATAGGTGTTAGAGACGAAGCCTGTGAATTAAGAGTAAGTTTCTGAGAAACTTAGCCTGGGCTCATATCTAGAGGTCAGCTAACAATTTTCAGTACCCCCAACTTATTGAAGACGAGAATTTGCTCGGTAATCAGCCATTGAACGGCGACAACAGCAACCAAGGTCTGAACTACCTGCCATTCTCCGTCCATCTCTTTAAACTAGCCCGTCTGAACTCGGAAATCAAATACGTGGCCAATAGTATAGTGAGAGACACTCCTGTTTATGCCTACCCTCCTCCAACGAACATAAACGATTGGCAGGCTGGCATGATCCGACAGCTTGATGATTGGGCCGAGAGCATCCCTACAACGGCGGACGAGAGAGGATATATGAAAACTACGTGCGAGATACGTTGCAATTCTCTGATGATGCTACTCTTGAGGCCTAGCCCGGCGCTCCCAAACCCAACCATTCAATCACTCAGACGATGCTACACTGCTTGCCAAGACTGCATCCGCCTTTTCAATCGTTTGTACCGCGATGATCTCCTGGTTTACAGTTGGGTTACTTTCCATTCTTTGCTCCTCAGCATCGTCACCATGCTCTATTGTGTCCGTGCTGCCCCGAGCATTGCCGCCACAACTGAGCCAGAGAGGTTCATGAGCGATGTTTATGCTGGTCTCAATATTCTTAGCGCTGCTGGAGAGTACTGGCCCGGGGCGAAGAGAAGCCGCAACGTATTGGACGACCTGGCACAAGATGTTCTTCGATGGGTAAAAGAAGTCAAAAAAGCACAAGATCTCGCAGGCAGCATGACACTAGACGCCGATTTACAGGGCGCGATGCCTGGTGAGGTGGCAGCAGCCTCCCAACCTACCTCGACAACGCAAGTGTTCGGAAACGAGGCCACCGACAATGTCCTGAATTCTGTTCCAACAGATGTGGAAATTGCGTATATGGATCAACCCGATTCCATAATGACGGGAGGCGCGGAGGACTGGTGGGGTGTATCATCAATGGAACAGTTCGACAACATCGATAGCATCATGCACAACTTCTTCACGGATTTTAGCCCAACTTCTGGAATTATGTAAAATAGCTGTACAATGAAATTCAAAACAAGGTTTCCAACAGGAAGATTAGAGATGAAGGCCAGCAAAAACGAAACTTCTGGCTGATTTGTGAACACCTGATAGTAAGCGTCGCAAATTCAGAAGCACGCAGCACTTGTGTCTTTTTAATGACATGGGCAATTCAAGGTATATTTATATATCCGCGTCGAGAAAAGTATAGAAATTCCAGACTGAAGATATTCTCTACTTGCAACTTGATGGAGGTTGAAAGTTGGGGTATGCCTGCTCGTATCGGCTAAGAAAATGCGAGAGAAGAGATACGTAAGTGGCGCAGTCGGCTGCCTATAAGAAGCTCACCAGAAAGACAGCGACATTTGATACCTTTCATCACCAAGACCCCGCATAACTTGACTTTCAATCTAATCAATCAACGAAGCTATTTCTTTGGGAGAGTTACGCCATCATCCTAAGCATTGGAACCTTACGCCAAGACTGATTAGTCTGGAGATCATATCTAATGGCGTTCCCAATTGCTCTTAAAGCCTCATCAGCTCTTTGTGCCACAACCGGCATCATAGATCTTATTCTAGGTCCCAACTTTCTACTCAAAACTTGTGGCGCCCCTCCTTTCCCAAGCGGCCACCCTGTTGTGGAGAGTCAGTATCGATTCTTCGGTGGTATATGGGCAGGGTACGGTGCGATGATATGGTGGGCGAGCAATGACGTTAAGACCCGGCGAGCCCCTCTTGCTCTATTGGGCGGAATTATGATGCTGGGAGGCACAGGACGACTACTAGCTGCATGGCAACACGGATTCGGCGAACCTTTAATGGCGATCTTCGCAGGCATTGAGATATTGGGTCCTGTGGTTCTAGGCCTGCTGGGCCAGAGTACTACTTATGAGGTGGAGAAAAAGTCAGCTTGAAGGTGGAAGGGCTTGAGAACAATCACTTTTTGTACTATTAGTATGCTCTCTCCATTCATTTCGTGGCAATGTACGGCTAGGTATAGCTACTCGATCGGTTTCTTCATGTCGACACCTTGCCATTCTTGAGCGAACCACTCTTGGCAGTTCCTCCACCAACAGTTGGGTTACGAGCCAGCCTATTCTCGCCGTTATTGACCACAAATGTTGCGATAACATCCTCTTTCGTATTCCTCGTTTTAACATCAGGGATACCGAAGAATGTCGCTGTGAGGCTATCGTAGCCGATATCCATCTCGTAATAGCCTCTGAAATACAAATCCTGCCATTGTAGCTCATCATTCTTATTTACAAGCCAAGCTGATGCCAAATTTGTCAGGAAGTTAGGCAGAACATTGCCAATAGGGCTCGTAGATGACACGGCTGAACCGGCCAGCTCTACTCCAATGGCCCCATCGCCGGTGTTCTTGTCATAGGGTCGATCACCTGCATCACCGGTTACCCAGGCGAGGTCAGATACCCACGAGGCATGAGAGTCTCCAGACATGATGATTGTGTTGTTAATTTGGTTGTCGTATAAGTGGCTGAAGACGCGGCGGCGGTTTGCCAGATATCCATCCCACTGGTCCCGGTTGAATCCCTCCTGTGTAAAGAAGCCAAAGGTCACATGGCTGAAAACCACTTGTTGGCCGACCAAACGCCAGGCCGCCCCTCGATTGGATGACTGGGAGAGCTGATCGTAGAACCAGGCTTCTTGGTTAAACCCCATAATGGTGCGGTTGTCGAGGTTGACGAGCTTCTCTACCTCTCCTGAGTTGCCTCCAATGCCCGCAAAGCCTCCCAGCACTGTCAGATCACGACTGTACTGGCGCGTGTCGAGCATCATCAAGTCAGCCAGGGTTCCAAGGGAAAATGAGCGCCAGATTCGCAAGCTATCGTCCATCTCGACTTGGCGTATGGGCATCCACTCAAAGTAAGCTCGCACTGCGGCCTGTTTCCGCTTAGCGAAGACCTCGCCGTCGGAGTTAACAGAGCCTTCGCGCCAGGAGTTGTCGGCGACTTCGTGGTCGTCCCACACTGGGATCCATGGGAATTTTTGATGGGAGGCAAGGAGGTCTTGGTCAGTGCGGTATGTGGCGATGCGCTTGCGATAGTCGTACAAGTCGTATGTCTCTCGATCGGGCTCTGGATTGCGAATACTAGAGTCGCCTTTGTATTCGTAGATGTAGTCTCCTAGATGAAGGACATAGTCAACTGAGTCCTTGGTAACCGGGTTGCCGTACGCGTTAAAGTATCCCTCAGCTTCATAGTATAAGTAAGTACAGTACTGGTGCCACAAGAACATCGCTGTTGAGACTCACGGTAATTGCTACAAGAGTAGACGGCCAATTTGATGTTTTTCTCAACTTTAGCGTCTTTGCCTGGAACCGTCTTAGTGCGACCGACAATGCTGGTCTTTGCCGAGTTGCAGACGTTGAATTGGTAGTAGTATGTGGTGAAGGGCTTCAATCCTGCGGCCTCGAACTGCAATCACATTACTTCAAGGTCGATTGATATTGGATACAACTATAACGTACTTTAATAGTATAGTCAACGTCACTAGTGGTATAGGCAGTGCCTTTATCCACGATGTCTGTGAGTTTCTCATCGCTAGCAATCCGGAATTCGACGCAAGCAGACTTCTCGCTTGGCTCATCTGCTTCTGGGTGATCGTAGATTGGAACAACTCCTTCAGGGATGGTGTCAGAGGCTGTGTTATTGGATGATGGAGCCAACCGAGTCCAAATGATGACAGAATCGGCCAGAGGGTCACCCGAAGCCACACCATGGGTGAATTCTAGCTCATCAGGAGTGTAGAGCTCATCGGCCGCTCGTGTAGCTAAATGGCTGGCGGGGACCGCTAACGTTGGATGGCGCCGGGACGGACTCAGATAAGCCAAATTGTTGCTGTGCACAGATGCGACGGCTCCATGAGCGGCGGCAAGGCCAATCACTACTCTTGGCAGCATGTTAGCAAGCATAGCCAAGATAGACTAATATCGATTGCTAAAATGGAGAAGCCTCATCCTCTCTTCATGCTCGGAAACCTCGAGGTCTTCTAAGGCCTGTATTAATACACATTGACTGCCGTGTAGCCCGGCATGTGTTCGTGAGGGGTACTCCGCTGGGAGCCGAGCCTGAACCATTCAATACGCACGTGGGCTAGAGACCGGGGTTCAAATGGAATGGCTCAAATTAAACAGAACTTTTTGAGCTGTAAAGTCCTGGTGCGCGTCATCGGCTCCTTTGAAAGGTGGACTAAAAGCAAGCTTTGCATATGCATACCTCAGCCCGGGAGTCCAATTGGGAAGGTCCTGCGATGATTGCAATCATCCGAGGTGGGATTGGCTAACCAAACTGCTCTTTTCCCCCGATTTCATATGCTGATGACGGACACTTGTACCGAGCCACCGCTCTTGGGTACAACCCTTCAGGCACGCCAACGCGGATGTTTCCATTTGCAATTACTATAATGGCAGGTCCGATTTTGGTAGGCTCGTATACAGATCTTTGACTAGTTGTGCAATTAGATCACGGGTATTAGCACTCAAACCAATTGAAGCCTTGATCGACGATGGCTTGAGTAATCCGCTAGAACTCCGAACACAGCTTTAGCTCACATTTATTGTGCCTTTTCGTTTGGCACGTGTTTTCCCACTATCGGGGTTCTTTCTTATTCGGAAATGGGGCTTCAAGTGAAACCTATCCTCCTCAAATGTTTATCGGCGCGGTCAAGATCAACGTTGAGTATGCGCGCTGAAGAACCCGATAATCTCTAGTGAAATCTAAAACACTTTTGTCACGGTAAAGTCCCACCCGAAGAGTTGTCATTGCGTAGTGCTCGTGGATGACAATAGGTAGGGTATGCTCCATTGTAATGGTCGATCCTGAAAGGCACCCTCTCTTCCCACCCATGCGACTCATGAAGATTCCGAACCTCATCGCTCAAGTATTTGATGTGCTGAGGCTCCGAAGCCGGTATGATTATGACTACCGGAAATACGGAGGAAACAAGCATTCTTATGTTCAGAATTATCGCCTCTATTCGGTACCTGGGACTTGGGAGTTTAAAGTCAAGGCCACTACCATTCAGCTTCCGCGGGTCTACTCTGTGGGTTGGACTGACCCCAGCGAACTGCGACCTCAATGGAAAATTGTCCTGCAGGAATTTGTAGCCACGTCCGACCTGGTTGTTGATTCCAACTCCTGATGACCTTGATCAGAAACGCGACAAACAATGCAACAAGAAGATTTCTATATCAGTGTCAGTCAGCATCGTCTAGACAACTTGGAGCAGGACTTTATGGGGCCAGCTTACGCCATAACGAAGGCAAAGCCGAAGTGAATCCAGTTGATAATGGCAACCACTGGTACAATAGCTCTGCACTCATCGATCGTCCCCAGATATCCATAATCGGGGTCATCGAGATAGTCGCGGCATGTAATTGGGTTGTAGAAGCCCGAAGTGTTCATTTCATCAAACACACACGCGTAGAGGAGAACGGCAAAATAGGCCAAGACGAATACGCTCGGGAGGGGCCAGAAAGGGCGCTTCTTCTTTCTGAGCACGTAGATGTTTGTAGCAGTGAAGGCCATTACAAAGATGTTCTACAGAGATAATCAGGATCTTATGACTAGATCATCCTAGCCTCTAGTAAAGCGAGAGCTAAGTGTTTTTGAGAAAGAGAAACTAACCACCACGAGATATGTAGGCCAAGAAACCACGAACCAAAAGCTGGATGTGCCAAAACGGGTGCTGCAATATTGGCGGATGAAGAAATCGGCGCAGAGCATCACAAACTCCAATATCCCGATAATCAGTGCGATTGTCATCATTCGTAACAGAGCCTTGTCTATTGGCTGTATCGAGCCAGTATTGCCGACAGGCTCACCTTCATTCTCCGCGGATACATTAGCAGCCAGCTGAGTGCTATTGTCCGCCTCGTGCGTCAGCAGCGGGGTTGATTCATTCGGAGATGCTGGCGCAGACATGATGGTGATGTTTTGCTTCGGGTTCTCTGTCTACAAATTAGGTTGCAGAGTTAGGCAATCATTAAAGATGATAATAAGTATAAGAGGGGTAAATTGCCACCAGAGTGAAAACCAAAAAGGCAACAAGCGAGTTGCAACCTGTTATTGGACTGTCAGGCCACCGTGGTCGTTAGTTTCATTACTCGCTAGCCTCAACTGCGCCGCACAGGGCCGGGAATCGTCTGATACCAATCCCGTAGGGATACTACTACACCCATATCAACGCTGGGCTCAATTGCAGAGGTGATTTATCCAAGGACAGTTAGTCAGTATGTGTAATGGTAGAGGAATGACCACGAAGCGTCGTGATAGACCTATGAAGAGAGTGATATCAATACCAAAGTTCATTTCTTTCAGACACCGTAGCGAGAGATGAGTTGCTGAGCAGGGGCTTTGCTAACAACCACCAATGGCATCAGAGCAGCGTATAGGGCCCGCCAACACTAACCTAGAATGGCTCGCCGATGAACACAGCCTTCTGCCTTATAAGATGTAATAACATTACAGACACCAGCGAAGTAGCTTGTTCTACTATGAATTTGACCTATTGGTTAGTTTTGAGTATACTGTTTCCTCCATTTCGGGCAGGGAATCCTTCGCTTTTGCTTCCTTTTTGATTTCGAATCCCGATGTGTGCTTCTATGACGGCTTTTTTTTTTTTGCCTCTTTCTCTCATCTAACCCTGGGACTTCATGCCTATCCTGTTTATTTATTTTTCTTTTTTCCTTCATCCTTTATCTTCCAAATAAGCTTCACTTGCATCTGTTTCTGACCTATCTCCAATCTCTTCCTCATTCACCTTGGTAAGTAGTGAGAAACGAACACATCAAGAATGCTAGTCAGTTCATCTTCCTCTTGGGAAACTCGGTTAACTTTTCGATGGTTTTAATGCCGAAATAGTTGAGGTTGCGCAACACTACGGAAGACGGAGCTATGACCGCGGAGAAAGTTCTATGTGACTGCTGTCCGCGACCCAGGGTTTAAGATTCCATCACTCTCCATTTTCTCTAGTTTACAATTGTAAAAGATAAAAGCAAAGGTAGTGGAACCTGGCAGGAAAATCGCCAAGAAGAGAACTTAATTTCTAGCTTTGAATCTCAGCAAGTACCAAGTGGAAACGAGGACTCTTAGATAAACACTTCCATTTGTCACGTCCATTACATCAAGGAGGTGTATGAAGCCTCTACATCAAAGATTTGGGGTTGCCATGTTTCTCTAGAAACCAATCGACAGTTTGTGCAATTCCAACATCCAATGGCACCTTGGGGCTCCAGCCCAACACTTCCCCAGCAAGAGTGATGTCTGGCTTTCTCCTGGTAGGGTCATCGACCCTCTTTGGTAGGTATTGAACAGCAACCGGCGTTTTTTGACCGAGCTTTTCCGCCACAACTCTGGTAACCTTGTTAGCGATATCAGATACCGTCATTTCCAGATCGCTTCCGATATTAACTGGCTTGTCATAATCGCTGTTCATGAGTGCGTACAAGCCCTCCACGCAGTCCGTCGCATATTGGAAGCACCGCGTAGCGCTGCCATCACCGTAGATCTTCACGGGTTGGCCATCCATCGCTGCGCCAATGAAATTTGGAACTGCTCTTCCATCCTTAGCGGCCATGTACGGTCCATAAGCGTTGAAAATCCTGGCGATACGTGTCTCCACGTTGTTCTTCAGTCGATACGAAAATGCCAATGCTTCGAGAGTCCTCTTCCCTTCGTCATAACATGACCGGGGGCCGAAGCTGTTTACATTCCCACGATATGATTCAGGCAAAACAGAAATCTCAGGATCTCCATATACCTCTACGCAAAAAAATAATTAATAAAGTCATTGGTATTTGAGAAAGGTCAAGTCACACATACCGGAAGTACTGGCAAGTAGCACTCTTGCCCGACGCACTGTGGCTAGTTCGAGAACATTTCTAGTTCCCAGGAAGCACGTCTCTAAAATCTCGATTGGTGCTCTCTCAAAATCATCCGGGCTGGCCGGGCAAGCCAGATGGTAAATTTGTTCCAAGTCCTCCACATCCGGGAGCGGCTCTCTCACGTCGCACCTGGAACGGTCAGAATCATGGTTGGCCAAGATTTTAACGGCAAGAAAGGAGCAGCCACTCACAAAATGTGTCGAAAGTTCGGGTTTGAGGCAAATTCGGCGATATTTTCTTGAGAGCCTGTCCATAGGGAGTCCATTACCACCACGCTTTTGCCTTTCTCTAGTAAGAGTTTGACCAAGTGATGGCCGAGGAATCCAGCTCCCTAATTCGTTATGAGACACAGAGTTCCGCATGTGTAGAGGGATATAGCTTACTCCAGTTACAACGATTGTCATTGTCAGAAAAAAATCACGCTCAAGGCTTGTTAAGGTTTAAGAAATCGTAGACCAACAATAACAAGATGAAAAACATCCAGAGGCAGTGCCGACGCACGTGGTTTTATTCCTTTCTGGGGCAAGGTTACCCAGGTTGCCAAGTAACTTGTCTCATTCTTAGCCTCTGCAACCATGACGGCGTCGAGACTTAGCGTAGGAACCTCCAAGCCATTCAGAATGCTCATTCTGGTGTTCGCTTATCGATGTCCTACGTTGGCCGAATTATTGGTGACTGAGAATGTCAGAACACGTCAGATCCCTGACGTAGTTATGAAACATGACCAATGAAGACTCCCGTTCAGCTGCAGTAGCACCACTCTGGGTCCATGGAATGTCGATCCCCAGCTCGATCCGGCCTTTTTCAGCTTCATCCTGCCAGCCACTAACATCGTGTTAGCGTGCCGAGGCGACAATGGAGGAGCTCTGCGATTCCATACAGCGGTCAGTCCGTCCACTCAGCTGGTCCGGGGCCTATGTTTTGTACCGATGCGTCCAAACAGTGTCACAGAAGGTCCTCGGTAGAAGATCGCCCGGAGAAAAAACCCCACCTTCTAGCCTAAGAAATCACATTTTAGAGATGCCGGGAGACGCATAAGTGTAGAATCATAATCATGTATATAAACAACAATCTAGTATATCGCTTCTAGTTCATGGTATCTCATCCAATAATATGTCCAAATGTAAACGCCAACCAATTACCACAAATTCTCTGTATGCCAATCCATAGCCGCTCTTTGTCTTCCTATTACGCCATATCACCGGCATTCTGGCGTGAAGAGGCACTCGAGCTGGGCCTGGGGCTCCCCGGCTTCTCATCCTCAACGGGCGCGATGAATCTCGATTGCAGACTCACTGTGTGAACGGCCGGATAAAGGTCCATCACGAAATGGAAGACATAGAAGCTGAAGACGAAGGAGATGGTCCATTCGAAGATTGCTGACATGTCTCTCTTATGTCTCCTGCAAGCCAGAAAGCAGACGAGAAGCACCATCTCAAGGATGATGAAGACCAATTTGACCAAGAATGAAGCTCGGAGCTCGGGGTGTTCGGGATTTTCTAGGAAATGAGAATTAGTATTAAACATTCATTCTTAACAAGGAGTTATCCTTACTGGCTGCCATGCGCTGGTACATGGCGCACAGGAAAATGGCAGACAAAAGGTATCCCACAATAAAAAGCGACAGGAACACCCAATGTAATCGGCCCGGCCAGCCCGTCCTGAAGATTGATAGACAAATCAAACCGACAGTCCCTACAACCGCGAAAAAGATGTTGAAGGCGCAAAGAACTTTCTCGGAGGTGGATTTGTACAACACAAGACGACCCTTCAGACGCAATATAGGTTCGGCGATCAGGCCAACATCGAAGAGGCAGGCGGTGAGGATGCAGCCCGTGATGAATAGAGGCTGAAGGCGGTCGGCACCGATATTACTGATGAAGGCGATGGTAGCTCTCGAGGCCATGGTGTCGTAGTGGCGGTATTTGTCTTCGATGACCCAGGAAAGCAGCATGCCGAGGAGCATGCCCATCCATACTAGGGAGGAAAGAAGGGGAAACACCTGTAGAGGTTAGCAGCTGGACCAACAATATCTACTAGGCATCTTCAAAACGTACCCAGAACGACACAACGCCAGTAATGGCCATTGTGGAAGTGGTAAACCGGGCAAAGGATGAGAAAAGAACAAGAAGGAATAAACTAAATAAGCAACCAGGCTCCAAGAAGAGAAAAGGTCAACCGTTCGCTGATGGTCAAAGGGTGAGGCGCGTTTCGAGGATGTTATTAGCGGTTGAAAGCGATATGATCATAATGGTGCAGGTTGAAATCAATGTTGCACGCCAATCAATAACCAACAATCGCCGTTTTCTGCGGCCGCAAACTTCGATCAATAGCCTCCAAAAACCAACAAGTCGTCGAGTCCGTGGAAACCAGTGAGGTATTATTAATCGCAGCGAATCGAATCGTAATTAGAGCCAGTGGTGCCGTATGTTGTCGTCGCGCCTCCAGGGCCAAAATATTAAAAATGATAAGTTCAAAGTGTGCCGTCCCGCGGGTCGTCGATCAACGACGAACTGAGTAATGAGTGAATATGTCGTTGAACCAGTCAACACGATCGTAAATGCAAATGCGATTGTTGCTTCATTCCATCATCCCACCGTCCATTATTACGGAGTCGTAAATGGAGGATGCCACAGACAAACAACGAGAAGAGAGAAGAAAAATAAAATGGGGAGAGTAGGTCATCAGTCATCAAGGATGGCCCGTGTCCGACTAATGATAATGCTAAATTTAGGTCCGTGAGCCAGTGAGCACAGAGCCAAAGGACAGCAAAAAAAGGGTGAGCATTTGCCCCCTCAACCTCGGTTCCGTGTCCCTTGACCGCTGCCAGAACTGAAACGGCTCTCTATCTACCCGAGTACATTATTCCGTAATCTAGAGGAGTGGCTTTGGGCGCAATCCAACCCTCCTGCCAATAACGTGTCGTCGTGAAGCCACGTCCTAGGGTGAACGCCGTCGTGTTGCGGGATTCCACCCACGCTCGACAGGGGGTCTGACAGAGAGCACAAGGCAGCTTATTACTGTGCATATAATTGTACATCCCGCAAGCAATAAGCGTCAGCGGCACGCGCTACCCCTACAATAGTGCCTGTGGCGGCTTGTTTCCCAGCACTTGGTGCCCAGAGCTGGGCGCTTTGGCTACCACAGCCTCGAAAGCAGCCTCGACATCATGCTCAGCAACCCAGTACGGATCCATCCGCTCGCTTACCCTCTTGCGCAGCTGCTCGTCGGTTTCTTCAGTCCCGTTGTCTGTCTTGACCCTTCGGCCAGCAACAGACTTGTGTACTGAATCGAGCAGTCTGTCCACCTGCGGTTTTCTTGTGGCTTGGTAGATTTCAAAGACTTTGTGCAGATCGGCTGCCGAGGGCTTTCTGGAAGACTCCGACGGCGGCCAGACATGGAACAGAGCCAGGGACAGTGCATGTGCATCATTGATAGCGAGGGACCCTCCCGCCGCAAATGCACCCCCGTGACCGTGCGCGGCGTCTCCGACCAGGACGATTCGGTCATGAAATGACCAAGTATCCAGGGGGTCAGCTGCGTAGCCCGGAAATTGGCGAATGTACGGCGCAGCCTCTGTGATGGAGCGGATGGCTGGGTGCCAGTCCTGAGAGGCCTCATCGTCAATCAATTGACACTTCAAGGTAGAATAACCTCATACGAACCTTGTAGAAAGACTTGAACTGTTCGACATCGCCTTGGTCGTCCCACCTAACCCCATGCCCTTGACTTTTGGGGTCATCCAGATCGGCGTGGTAGCCTCCCACAACCGTATATAGCCCCTTTCCTAATCATTTCCGTATGTCAACATCACGAACCAACAAAATGCGGTAGGCAGTAAAGGATCACAATAACTCCCTCACGTACCTAATGGCGACACGAATAAATGTCTTTTATGTCCAATCTTGACCAAAATTATACTATTAGCATCGGAACATCAATTCTGTCCAAATGGCGATAGTAACTTACCCAGTGAGCAGCGCCTTCAGGGTAGTCAACACCATCCAGACGAGACTGTTCATAGACAGCACGCAGCGCAACCCACCCTGTCCAGTGAATCTTATGTTCAGGGGCTAATGTTTTCCTGACAGTCTGTTGAGGTCAGACCTGCTCTCTTTTCCAGAATTTCAGCCAACCTACAGAGTGAATGCCATCGGCCCCAATGCAAATATCTGCCTTAGCAGTAGTTCCATCCTCGAATGATAAAGTAACACCCTCGTCTCGGTCTGCGCTTACATTTACCAACTTTTTACCAAAGTGCACTATCTCGCTCGGAAGATTCTCGTAGAGTGCCTTGTGGAGATGTGCGCGGTGGTACCTAGTGGTAATGAACCGTTTGTCTTTGACGTTCCGATGTTCATCATATCCAATAATCTCTGACGTTTTCCAATGGCGATAAACCATGGGCCATCCAGATCGTTGACGGTACAGAATGTTGTCGTCAAACGCGTTTTTGACTCCTAGCTTATCCAAAGAACTGAGCCCATTGGGCCCGAGGGCAATGCTTGCCCCAATCTCTCGAAGCTCTTCAGCACGCTCATACACTTGGATGTTAACGCCTGGGTGTTTGATCAAGGCAATGGCCGTTATCAGCCCCGCAATGCCTCCGCCGGCGATTGCGATCTCTAGCTTTGGAGATTGCCCTGCTGAGTTTGTTGCGTTATTGCTCATGACTGCAATAAGGGGTGTCCAAAATATAGGATTATTTTTCTCCTATACTATTGATCGTAAAGCAGGGAAACGGTATTGAGTAGTCAGCCTTATACCTGCATCGTCTAGTTTCGCTTCTGTGATGGGACTTGCTCAACCCTCGGGTAAGATACAACGACTGGATGTTTTTTGGTGCAGACACGGGACAAATATACATCGCCGCGATATTCCCGATGATATTCTACCGCAAGGAGTAATTTCGAAAGGATTAGGTGGGATTTGGTGCTTTGCACGAGCGGAGCATCTCCGACGATAAGGCAGAATGATGATGGAATCACCAGCTCTGATCACGCAACTCCAGCCTGAGTTGCGCTGGGAAATAAAATCATCCCACCAACCATTACAAATAAGCATGCAAAGTTGTTTCCACCTCACGGGATTAACAAGCATTTGGTCCGGTAAAGGAGCATGGCGAATGCATCTGCCCCAAAACACTATCTCCAACCTTAAGTCCCATGTGCCGTGTATCCGATATGGTTCTGATGACGTGCGCGGTGCTACTTTATACGTGCTTTGATACCCAGCCAGATGGCCCTTTCAAGGTAGGCCTTAGCGACGAGAGGGGATTTGACGGTTGGATAGGGCAATGAGCTATTTCCTGGAATCAACAGGTATTTTCACAGCATAAATCTAGCCTGACGTGACTTGCCGGGGCAATAATGTGCTTAGACAATACCGAAGCTGTATCCGTTGTCGGCCAACTCAAGTCGAATCTTGCTAGACCCCTAGACCCCGTATCATCTAAGCCGTACACTTGGAGTCGAGGAGTCACTCAACACATCATACAGTGCGTGGCCTTGATCACCGAGGAGAAGTTTCAAACTTTCCCATTTTGTACCTGTCCTCTCCTTTGTTAGCGCCACCTTGCTCGCCCCTTTTGCAATGCGTCCTACAACAAATGGTGTTGCTGGCTCAGCGGACGATGGAGTTTTCAAGAAAGGCGTCCGAGTAGCCGTAATCGGTGCTGGAGTCAGTGGTGTTTGCACAGGCGTTCGCCTACTCCAGCACGGCGCCCACGTCGTCGTTTTTGAACGGTCCCAAGTGTCATCCGGGGTGTGGCACTTTGACCCGAGAATCGATTCCAACAGCGTGGCATATCCTAGTAAAGAAGCCTCACTAGGCGAATATGAGACATCCCTGCCTGGCCAATTTCTCCCGCCAGGTGTGAAGAACGGATACTCCAAGGATGATGAGGCTCGCCTCCGCCACCACGCCCTGAATACAACGGAAAGAGAAGCTTTGGAAACTTCCTTCGCGCCCCCTGGTCCTTGCTACTCTGGATTGAAAAACAACATCCCTACACGGCTTCTGTACAGTAACCTCAAGCTTTGGCCTTCGGGGACAAAGGATAATGTGCCGCACTGGGAGATTGAGAAGTACATTCAAGATATTGGTGCTGAGAATGATCTCGAGAAAGTCACGCTCTACAACACACGCGTTGAAACTGCTAGAAAGTCTGATGATGGAAAGATATGGCTTTTACGAACAATTACACTCCTACCCAAACAGGGAACGCCTCAAATTGTCGAAAGAGCCTGGGAGTTTGATGCGATTGTTGTTTGCTCTGGCCATTACAATCTTCCTCGAATTCCCGATTTCCCTGGCCTACCAGAGTGGAAACAAACATTTACGGATAGAGTGATACATTCCAAGGAATATCGCAACCCCGATGACTTCAGAGATAGAAATGTCCTGGTGATAGGAGGAGCCACTTCAGCGTCTGATATCTGCCGAGAACTAGATGGGGTAGCGAAAACTGTCTATCAAAGCACAAGAGGAGGAAAGTTTGACCATCCGGCAACAATCATTCCTCCTGCCGTGAAGAGGGTAGGGGAAGTGAATAGCTTTGTTCTGGCTAAGGGGAATGACGTTGAGAATTTGAGTGATCCATCGTCCTCCATTCCCGGTCAAGTTCTTCTAAGAAATGGAGAAACGGTTAAGGATCTCCACCACATTATCATCGCAACCGGATATCTAACGTCATTTCCGTTCCTGTCTCAATTCCACGGAGACAACATACCCATTGAAGACGCTACCCCGGAATTGCTGGTCACGTCCGAGGCAAACATGGTACACAACTTGCACAAGGATATCTTTTACATCGAGGATCCGTCACTCAGTTTCGTTGGTATCCCTTACTATGTTGCCACTTTCTCGGTCTTTGACTTTCAAGCTGAGGCCGTGGCTCGGGTGCTCACTGGCAAGACCAAATTGCCATCAAGACAAGTTTTGCGAGACGAGTATAACAAGAAGATCGCCTTGAGAGGCCGTGGCCGAAATTTCCATAGCTTGGCGGATGAGGGAGCTGAACTCGCCTATGTCAAGGATCTTGCAGACTCCATAAACAAGGGAGCCCATGATAGTAAGGCTGATTTTATGCAGGGTCACTCTGAGCAGTGGCTTGACTCTTTCGAAAAATACAAATTATGGAGAAATGGCCTTAAGAAAGGCACCGTGAACATAGCTACTTCTTTAGAAGAGTTCATACGCCTCCAAGAGAAATGAGAAGAGAATTATGCTCTGTACCACCTTCATGATCCAATCCTAGGACTTATGGCGTTCGTTCTTCAACCGAGTCTCAAGAATCTCGTAAATGTCACTTGCCGTAGCTTGGTAGTGTATGCAAATTATATCCTAATAGCAGTTATCGTTATCGTTCCTCTTGGCATGCGGCCCGAACCATTATAGCCGAAACCTGGGTAGTGGTTCAAACAACTCGAATTGGGTAGTATGAGGTCAACCTCCCTGCTAGTATGACACGGACTTGGCCCGGTTACAGGGATAGTAGAGTGATTTTTATATGGGATCACGCAATCGCTCCAATGTTTAACTAGCAAGACACATGGAACTCTCGGATCCGTCCCGTCGGTTGTGATACCCCAGTACTTGGCCCATAATACAGCAAGCACGCACACCTACCCATGACTGATGCAATCGTATGGTTACTACCTTCGTATCAATGTTGATCAAATACCCAATTTGGTCCTGCCTTATGATTTATTTCTCTTCTCAATGCCGGCCAGAAGAATTTCACCTCGTTATCATTGGTCTTCCGTTACAGTATCGGCAGCATCGGCACAATGGCGGAAGGAGACATCCAACATGGCATTCGGCCATCAAGCAGCCACGGTGATGACAAGAATAAGGCAGTGGTCGAAACTACTGTTGAGCCCTCGGTTGATATTGATCCGAAAGAAGAGAGGGCTTTTGTCTGGAGACTGGATCTATGCTTCTTAACCGTCGGATTTCTGGGATACATGTTCAAATACATTGACCAGACGAACATTGTCAGTATTTTTCCACGTCCGTTGTCTAACCATCTAACGCTAACATATTGAATCCTAGAGCAACGCCTATGTATCCGGAATGAAAGAGGATCTCTCTCTCTACGGCAATGAACTCAACTTTTTTACCACTTATTTCAAGTATGTCTAAAACCTGCCTCTGGATTCGTTTGAGTAACTTGTTGATCATGGAACAGCATTGGCTATATTATCATGCTATGGCCATCTTGTATTATAATCTCCCATATTGGACCTTCAAAATGGCTGCCCGCATGCGAGGTATGATGACGAACTTACTCACTGAAGGTTGAGCTTGCCTAACATTGTCACGCATATTAGGTTATCTGGGGCGTCTTGACATGTTGTTTGTCTGTCGCAACCAGCGCACAACAGGTATTATAGAGCTAGTGACATGAGCTATGTGGTAGATGTTGACAATCTTCGTAGGTCTACGGGCTTCGTTTCCTCATTGGATTTTTTGAAGGCACTACCTGGCCCGCATATTTCACCCTCATCAGGTAGGATAAATCTTATTATTCTAAACTGACGACTGATAAATCTAACCGTGATATACAGCCAGTGGTACCTACCCCATGAAGTGGCTCTGAGAATGAGTCTTTACAACATCGCGCAGCCCGCTGGAGCCATGGTCTCAGGTGCCATGCAAGGTGGCCTGTCCACTAACCTTGAGGGCGTGCTCGGCCGAGCAGGATGGAGATGGGCATTTATCATCAATGTAGGGGATATGATCTTCTCAAATTCGGTCAAGATTTCTAACACTCACAGGGAATATGCACTATTTTTGTTGCATTGCTAGCATTTTTCTTTCTGCCCGGATATGTAAGTGAACGATACAAGGAACGATGGTGTTTGATACTGACAATGTGCGTAGCCCGAGGCTCCTAATCCTTTGGCCAAATTCTACCTAAAGCCTCGCCAGATTGGTAAGTTTTGTATTCCTCATGTTGCGATGAACGAAAGTTGCTAATCGTACACGTTGAACAGAAATTGCCCTTGCGCGTGCTCGTAGGGTTAATCGAAAGGCACAGGTTGGTATCACACTCAAGTCTTTTCTACGTTGCTTCACTTTTTGGCAACTATGGGCGATTGGAAGTAAGTCACCTTTTTAACCCCTCCACACAAAGAACTTAGTCTCACAAACAGCTTAGTTGCATGGCCGATTGGAGGCAACTTTTTGCCTTCCAACTACTACAATCTCTGGCTCAAGTCCTTGAAAAACCCAGATGGAACAGCAAGATAGTTAGTGCTTCTTGAACCGCCCGGACAAATTCTTTGCAGAACGAGCTAACATATTCAGCACTGTTGCCATGCTCAACTATCTACCAATTATTGGTCAAGCAGCCCAATTGGCCGCGGAGGTCCTCTACAGCAGTGCTAGCGACTATTTTGGAAAACGTTTACCATTCCTCCTTGTCCATTCAGTATGTTGTCATTCCAAGAACAATTGGCCAAACGTCTCCCTCTGACACTTATTCCAGGTTATAAATATTACGTCCTTGTCTATCTTGATTGTTCGCCCCCAGAATGAGCAGTTGTACATGGCTGGTTGGTATATGAACTATACCGGAGCGTAGGTCTACCCAGCGGATATCGCAACTTAGAGGCGTAAATTCTCAGGTTTCTAACATCCTTTAGGGTTTCAATGATGCTTCTATGTTCCTGGGCCTCAGAACATCTTGCACATGAGCCTCAAGTGCGAACTATGCTCTTCGCATCTGGCACTCTCTTTGCCTACATCCTTAGCGCCTTCGTTCCGATTGCGGCGTTCCCAGCTTCCGAGGCACCCCATTGGCGTATTGGAGCCAAATTGTACATGGGATTCGCCATCTTCGCCGTTTTCCTCTATTTTGGCATCTATTTCGGATTCAGATGGGAGAAGAAACGGGCAAAGCAAGCAGAGGCTCTGGAGAGACCAACCTCGACCGGGGAGGAGTCAGAGTCAGGCTCCAAGTAGAACTTTACCTCGGTTTTCCTCGTTATTCTCGCTACGTTGCCAAGAGTTTGGAACATATTATATTTTCAAGAAGCTTGTTATGTTCCATTGCTCCTGTCCTTCAATAAATCATAGATCAAGCTAAGGAATCCATCTGTATGAACAATCTGGTTCGACAACTCACTATCCCAGTGATCATTTACAGTGCCACAATATCACACATTCCTTTAGTTTTCTATTTGACCGATGGTACGAAACATAGTCATATGATAATAACTCCGAGCTGGCTTATGGCATATGATATCCTCTTTCTTAAGAGAAAATTTAGATAAATGTATCCAATTGAATCCCGATAAAACAATCCCCATATCATGTCTCTCATCAGAGATGTGCACGAGTGAAGTGACTGAGATACCATTTTATATTTAAACAAAAATAAATGCTTTTTGCGATAGACCCATTCTCTACTATTATCAATGTACAAATATAGAGTATATCGACTCATCTATTCAGATTCAAGTAGGTATCTGTGTTGTTCTCATCTAGGTGTCTAACGCTAGAAGCCCTTCTTATGCACGAAAATGCTTAAATAATCTCGTTTGTTATTCACTAGATGTGTCATGTGGCAGTACAATGTGATGATTCATGGGGTCGAGACTCGCGACGGTCTTCTTCGACTGTAAAAAATGGAGTCACCTGCCGAGATCGCCCACAGGGTTGCATCGAAGAGCATGATATCTATCCAGAGAGGAAGGCGTATGGGCCTCCCCTGGTGACCTCCCAGGATGACCGTGTATGATCGTCAGTGCCATGCCATTGTTTTTGTTTTTTTATTGCGCCGGCACACGCAACTCACAAACTAGCAGCTGATGCAACTAAAGAGACGCGCATAGGCAATCGTGTCATCAGGACTAATAAACCTACAAGAAAACCTTTTGTTGTTACGCGGTCCCTCATCCCCGTCGCTCATATCATTGCGAACAACATTGAACATATGCGAAGCGATGAGGCTCCTCAATGTTTGCCTGTCAGCGATCGCTACCATGGCGGCGGTGGCTACTGGACAATATTCTGGAGGTGACACATCTGGCTGTGGTAAGACTTATCTTTTTCAAGGCGTCACGCAGACGCGCATTATCACGTCCAGCGGCAAGTATCGCGCGTACGGCGTGCACCTACCATCGGGATACGATAAAAACAAGAAATACCCGACCATTCTAGGCTTCCACGGCTCTAGCAGTATCGGACTGTTCTTCGAGCTAGATACCAGGCTCAGCAGCAGCAAGTATCCCGCCGACTCCATTGTTGTGTACCCGAACGGTATCGGGGGTGCTTGGGCCGGCGCCAGCTATTCTAAGACAACAGTCACCGAAGATCTCCAGTTTGTATGGGACATACTGACGGACCTCCGGCGCTACTTTTGTGTCGACAGTGCGCGCATCTATGCCACGGGCATGTCCATCGGCGGGGGCTTCGTCGATACCATCGCCTGCAATGCCACTGTGGGCGGCGAGTTTGCTGCCTTTGCCCCTGCGTCGGGCTCGTTCTATACCAACAACGACGCGAATCACCAAAGCTGCAAACCCGCCCGCGTACCGACACCCATTATCGAAATCCACGGAGGTGCCGACACAAGTGTTGCATATAACGGGGGAGTGGGTGAGGGCGGCATCAACCCTGCAATCCCTGCCTGGTAGGTGGCCCTCCACAGGTCTCAGCTGAAAATGGAGATTAGTACTGAGCTCATCTCATCGAACAGGCTTGACCGCTGGGCGGAACGCAACCAATGCGAGAGACCGAATTCCCAATCTGACCTGTACGGTGGCGACGTGCATCATCTCAGCTGGACATGTAAGGGGGTGGCTGGTGCCTTGCAACACTACAAGACCGATGACCAGAGTATGTGAGCCAATCTGTTTATGCGGGGGATCGCGGCTTGGCTAATTTTAACCTACGACAGAGCACTGCTGGGCGTCGACCGAGATCAATTTCTCTCAACTGGCTGCCGGCGATAAACCGACGCACATTGAGGCCTCTGCCATCTTCCGCGAATTTTTCAAAAATTTCACCAGGCCAGCATAGTGATCTGCACCTCCCCCTGGTACGGAAAATATGATTGATGGTGTGTCTTGAAAATGGAGCATAATGGTGGGCTCCAAAACAGGAGTACAGGCATGTAGATGGGCACGATAGAAACGGGGACAGTCGGTCTGGTTGTCGTTGCTTCTGGTGAATCTCGCGATGACATTTGATGTCAAGCCACTTCTCCCTGCCCCAATTAAACAACGGTAGCGCTTGATCCCTCGCAGAGACCCCGAGACGGTAGCGAGAAATCCCCTTGGAAGATGTACGTAATGTAATCTGAGAGACTATTAGCCGGTGACGCAGCTGAATGAATCGTAAAAAGCAAGCTGGATGAACCTCGGGACTCATTACGGCAGGATGAGCCACCAAGGACGTGTGGCAGGCGGCTAGAGAGGCAATTAATTCCTCAAGGACAACCGGTAAAACGAGGGCAAATAAGTGTCTTAGTTAGACAGAGGTTAATCATTTCCCGGCCGGGATCTGGAGCACTCCGGCCACCCTCTTTCAACAGACTCAAACTCTATATCCTTCCTCTCCCCGTTTTCTAGAGGCACCGTCTTAGCTAAACATTATGTCCACGTACCAGTTTTATATGGGCAGGGTTGGGAGCCGTTATGACTCGCTCACGCTGGTGGGAGGTCTGGAATTCGTAAGCGGCACATCGAGGGACGGGTGAGCATCGAAGGGGGTGACAGCCCAATGCATTAGTGGTCGGAGATCTGTCCAGGATTTGCCCTCAGCTCGTGGTATTTTCTTTTTCTTGCCTGGATGCTACTTTTCCTTTCTATTTCTTGTTTTTCGTATTCTTCATTTCTTTTTCTTTCCTCCATGGCGCTAAGTAGGGATAGGCTGAGAGATCTGCAGAATGTGATCGATGTTCTAAGACACTTCATAGATGGTACTTTTTTTCGACGATTTCTTTTTCCCTGGGCCCGTGCTTTCTTGAATCTATTTGCGTACTGGTCGTAGGGCCGTGTAGGAGATGTAGCCCCGAGGAGAAGCCCTCACCGTGGTGTTTCCTCTTCCCCCGCCCCATGGCTGAAGGGGGCCAGTCATTAGGCCGGAATAGCGCCAAAGTTTCACGGCTGGGGAAGACTAGTCTCGCCAGAGCTGATCTTAGCGGGAGCCACTGCAGCAGATCATTGGTCTCCCTTGGACTCACCCTTGGCTGCATGAGGAATGCCCCAGCCGATGGGAGGCGACATGTCGATGTTGACGCAGGAGAGGAACTGGGATGGCTGCTCGGATTCTGCGACCGGGCCTGGAGCTTCATAAAGCTGTCTGCTCCCCAAGGTTCTTCTCCACATTAGCCCGCTATTGGCAAAAAGCTTGCCCCTCGCTTCTGCATTTTCGTTTGTTCATGCTTCCTATTGTTGTTTGCTATGCCCCAGATGATCCCAGTACCCCAGACTGTCCCCAGCAGTTGAAACTGCAGCAAGATGGGCGGGGAGCGGGGCTTTCTGGTGCCCGAGAACTACGAGCTCCAGCCGGTGACCACCCAGGACATGATCATCGCCTCCTTGGCCTTGGGATTCACCATGGGCATTGGGTGGCTTACGGTATGGACAGCGATCAAGCAGACGACAAGCAGTTACCGGAGGATCGGACGGGGTATCGCCCATAACACGTACGTGATTATGATTTGGGGCGAGATCGTGGCCAGTTCAATGTTTGCTGCCATGTCGATACTGCACCTCTTCGGCATAATTAGACCGAGGTTTGTGCCCCCCTGGAGGAGATGACCTATTCCACAGCTGACATACTGAACAACATATAGCTTTGAGTTCTACTTTTTCATTTGTGAGTTCTTGCTTCGTCGGCCTTTTCCCCATCGCTGTGCTGACCCCAACTTTGAATAGTGACCTCATGGGTGTTCCAGGTGCGCGAAATTGCCGGGCTAGCTCCCAGGCAGCATGCTAACGTTTTCCGCAGGTCCAGTTTCTGCTACAGATTATTATCAACCGCTGCGCTATTCTCGTTACGGACCGCGTCTTTATTTTCAGGGTGAAATGGGGCACGGCGGCCCTCATCACGATGGTGAACATTTCAGTCTACTGCATATGGATTCCCGCACGACTGCAGATATCCGAGAGATATATCCATATAAACGACATCTGGGATCGGTGCGAAAAGGTGATATATCTTCTGGTCGACGGGGCCCTGAACTTTCTCTTTATGCGCATCGTCAGGCAGGACCTCGTCAAACTCGGCCTCCGCAAATACAACGGGCTTGTCAAGTTCAACATCTTCATCATTGGGTTTTCTCTGTCCATGGATGTTCTCATAATCGCAATGATGAGCCTCAAAAACACGTTTGTGTACGATACTCCGCGCCTCAAATTCCCTTAAAAAGCGCATGCCGCTGACACCAGTCACTGTTCCAGATACATGCAATTCCACCCATTAGCTTACATCGTCAAGCTTAAAATCGAAATGTCCATGGCCAACCTGATCGCCAAGATCGCGAAAGCTCAAGAGCGGGGCACCGAGTTCGAATACACTGGAAACTCGAACAACTACGCCGACACCATGGCAGATTCGGTCGTCGTGGAAAATAGAAAGCAGAGGAATCTGGACGAGGAAGCACACATCGCGTGGGTGGCAGCAACGACGGAAATTCAGATGAACAACATCAAGTTGCCCGGCGACTTGAACGAACCACCAGCACAACCCTCGCAGTCCATCCAGCCTACCAAGTCGGCACCTACACCCACACGTGCACCAGCACCAGATGAGATTACTCGCTGCGCAACCGAGGCAGGGTCTCAGCAAGCAGATACAAGGACTCGCCACCCAAAGAAGCAAACACAACGTCGGCCCAGCAGGGATATAAGACAATACGAGTCTTTTATGTTTCTATCTTCCAAAGCGGTTGTTGATCGGTAGCCGGGACATGGAACTCGATCGCAACAATAACGACAGGAGGGATGCGAGTTTAAGGGAAGGGTTCGGAGGCAAGGCGAGAAGGCGTTGTTGTTTTTAACAGGTCACGATCAAGCATGATACCATCAAGCAGAGGGATTCATTTTGGGAGTCATAGAAAAATTTGCAATTGTGTTTTGCACTAGCAGGGACATTGCGTGGCGCAGGGAACTAGCAAGAGAAATATTTTAGCATTTAAAATTGGGGTTACGAATGTAAGTTATAGCACTGTTGAAGGCATGGGGGCTATGTTGAAGTAGCCAAGGTTGTTAGCTATAAGTGAACAACCGTTTCGGGAACTGTTGAAGCGTGGCCCGACGCTTTGTTGAAGTAATGCTCAGAAGCATCCATCATAATCCGGATAATCAATATACCCAAGGCTTAGTAGTCACTTCCTCGACTTAAGATTTCCTTCTTGGATTCTCGAAGCAAAATGGTCTTCATTGTGAGATTAGTTTCTGATATCTGTTTTAGGGCCAAGTGCAACAACAACATACATGTTCAAACTGTGCGGAATAAGAGCCCTTTATATCCGCAAGCGGTGCGTGCATGTCAAGCACGCCGTTGGACACGAGGCAGTTTAGCTATCGATTGCTCAGTTAAAGTGTTCCTTCTTCTCAAGTCAGTGGCCAAGGAAAATAAAAGGTACTTACACCAGCCAGATACCGATCCAAGCCAATGCGATCAAGGTAACGACGGCAGAAAACGATCGTTCCAAAATGCTCCTTGATTGTCTTGTGAAGGCGGGTTGCAGTCTCAAATGGCAATGCCACGCGTTCTGGTGCGTCTGGATTGAGTCCATATCCATAGACACCGTCCTACAGAGTATGAGTTAGCAAGTTTTACATCGGCATCGCGTTTCAAATGCGTAAGTAACTCACATCTTCGTGTGTTCTGCCACGGCCCGTTGACCCGAAAGTCTCGATGGCAAATATTTCTCCTTCTTCCATTTTGGTTTGATCATTGTTCTTGGTGAAGGGGATGGATTTGCCCCCATGGATGAGATATCGCTTGATGTCATGTGCACAAAGGCTACGCACAGGCTTGATCGGGTAGACTTTGCCATTGATCTCGACTTCGTAGCTCTCCATGGTTTCTTGGATTTCGGAACTCACATCGCAGATACGAACATCAATTCCAGCGGCCCGTATTCCACTCTCAGTGGCATCTTTGACCCCGGCGAGAAGATTGTCGTACACAGAATCAAAGGACATTGTGAACGCACTGTCGACAATCCAGCCATTGATCTGGACGCCGTAATCTACCTTCATCACGTCCTCATGCTTGAGAACGACGTCCTTGTGGCCTGGATTTGGCGTGTAGTGAGCGACCTGGTGATTGAGTGAAAGACCGGTTGGAAACCCCATCCCAGACTTGAGGCCGTCGCCGGGCTCAATTGCTTGATTACCAAGGAGCGCCCGCACGCTATCTTCAATGCCTGTGGCAATTTGGAGGAGAGTCTGGCCAGGTTTGACCGAATCTCTAATCCAGTGTCGAACCTGGCGATGGACCTCCGCCGCCTTGCGATAATCATCGAGAAAGGCCGGATCCTCGAGGTGATTGCGACCAAGATAACGCATCTCTGCACCAGTGGTGCGAGCTGTGTTCGTCTCTCTAGCCCCATCAGAGTACTCGAGGAATTCACCAGGCGGGTAGTTCCCAGAGGGAAACAAGTCGCTTAGGGGCACCCTCGGTGGCGATGACTGCTCGGTTGGAGGAGCCTTCTTAGCCTTCTTCTTCTTAGGTCTGCTTTTCTTCTTCTTCTTGCCATCATCCACCGTTAGCGGCATGGATCCAACTTGATGGCCGTCGCCCTCGCTATCCTCGTCGTCACCGCCCCCATTATCCCCGAGACTCCCGTCTCCATCACGGGAGAGATGGGCACCGCGTGGCTCTCCGCCCAGAGCAGAGGAGCCGGAGGAATCCGGTCCACCCCCGCCTGTGGTCTGTCAGCGCTGATGATCAAAATAAGGGCAGATTCCTGGTAAAATTATACCATTGCGGTGTTGGTAATCATCTTCAGAGGTCTTTGCACCCATGTCGACATGAACGCGGATGGCTGAGCGCTCTAACTGTGAAGTCGCGTGATGTGTGAGGGTGATGTTTCATCGATGTTGCCAATTCGCTCACTGGAGCCGAAGTAGCTGATGTCAAATTGCAGCTTACCCTATATCCACGTGACTACAATCTGTGTCAATGATCTTTATAAAATTTACACAATTAGACGTCTTAAAAAATACTCCTTTTTCTCAATTATTAAAATCCATATCCGCCTATACTTATCTTAAAAATAGGATTGGAGTGTGGGACTGGCCTCGTGGTGCACCAATAAATAGTTACTAAGTCAAGTCTCGTGCCGGACCTCTGAGATGTTCTTGCTAGTCTACTAAGAAAGCTATTGTAAGGGCAGAAATTTAAGCTGGATTAGTGGAAGTAGAAATTATTATTTAGACAGGATATTTGAATAGAGATTGTTTACGACAATTTTGCCCTTCAGGCAACCATGAAGAATTGTGAGTTGTCAACGAGTCTACGACCATCCGCTTTATTCGACCATTGCGCCGCGATTTAGTCACTATTCTTCATACAGGCACTGCCTAGTATTAAAGCTTTGATTGATTTAGAGGGACTATTGATATTATAGTGAGTTGAGAAGGTAGGTAGCATTAAAGTCATCCTAAAACCCTGGGTACCTTACTTTCCCATGACACTTGTCACCACCAGACGACTTTCAGGGTTGTTAGGCCATTGAATCAGTCCTCGGTATTCATGTGGGCATAATCTATAAGAGCTATTAATTTAGTCCATCTACAACCGAAATTTCAGACCCATCCTTCTTCGTCTTGGGACCATCTTCAAGGTCGCTGATGTGAGGGGCTATTTTAACCTTACGGAAATCCCTGATACTAACACCGCGGAGGAATAGTTCATCAATCTCCTCGAGAGTTTTCCCTCCGCACTCGGGAACACAAAATAGAGAGAAGAGAATGGCCAAGAAAGAAGTCGCACCAAAGATGAAGCCAACCTTGGATCCGAGACCCGCGTATTCAGCGCTGAGCAAGTAGGGAACGCTAAATGCAACAGCCCACTGGATCACAATATTGAACACCGAACCTAGGGCGTAAGTCAAGTCTCGGAGGCCAGTAGTTGGGATCTCAGCAGCAACAACATGTGAAAGCGGAGCCCAGCCGAGCGAAAAGCCCACGTTGAAGATGGTGACCATGGTGACAATGCCTGTTTTAACACTCCAGGATGGCTGGGCCACAGTTCCTAACCCACCCATTACCATCAAAGCTGCAGTCTGAATGAAAGCTCCAGCGGTAAGAAGAGGTCTGCGAAGTGTCAGTATAGGTTTTGAGATTTTGGGCCACTTCAACGTACACGCGGCCAGTCTTGTCAGAAAGGAATTGGGTAATTAGAACAACGAAGATCCCAACGGCAGAGTTGATACAAGACATAACGAAGGGATTCACAGTTCCGATGCTCTGTATAAATACAGTTCCGTACTTGGAGCTGAAGTTTTGCCCTGTGAGTTGGAGAAAGATGTTTACCCCGATCGTAATCAGGGTTCGCTTTCGGTTGGCTTCGAAAAACAAACGTCAGTAACCACTATCACATAGATCTATTGACATATACTAACTTCCTCGAAACAGATCTTTGGGCGATCCCTTCTTGATATTCTGGCTAAGAGCCGTCCGCATATCGTTGAACTCGACCTCGATCTCCTCAGAAGAATATCGTCCTTCTCTCAGTAAAGTCAGGGATCTCAAGGCTTCGTCGGAACGATCACGAGTCAGTAGCCACCTAGGAGACTGTCTCGTGTTAGCTTAGGCACCATTATATTGATTGTGAGAGCTGGTTCACATACCTCTGGAACCCACCACACGCCGACCGCTAGGAACGAAGGAATGACGAAGAAAAGCCCATATGGGATTTTCCAAGAAGCATGTCCTTCGATCTCGCTAGTTCCTCGACAAATGATTGCCATTATCAAGCTTCCAAGCTACCGACCATTCGCCGTTAGAGAGTTGATTGAAGGCATGCGAATCAGGAGGTGGACTAACCAAGAGACCTGACTGATATGTCCCCACCACAAAACCTCTGGCCTGAGCAGGCACAAGCTCAGACTGTAGAACTGGGACGAGTGCCAACTCCATTCCGATATAGACGTACGCAATCGTTCGGCCCGTTATGGTCTGCGTCTGTGTCTTTGACAGCAGGAGGATGATGCCAGAGAGAATAGCCCACCAACACATGACGAACATCGCGATTCGACGGCCAAAACGCCGGCTAAGCAGATTGCCGAAAACAAGACCGAACACGAACCCGATGAATTGCACGCTGTTGAGAAGCGACAGGAAGACAGGGTCGAGATCATATGCTTTGGTGGTCTTGTTGTAGGTCCCATACATTTCTTTGAATGCGGGCATCGCTTGCGTGTTGCTGAAGGCTGACTGATCCATGCCAAAGTTGAGTTGCGAGAGCGCGATCAATGCGCAGGAATAAAGGAGGCGGCCATTGAAGCAGCCTGGCAAACTGCGGGTAGGTTTATTTGTCGCCATTGGTGTCTACTCAGGTCGCCGCGGCTGTGATTGAGGTACGGTGGAATTAGCTCAATACATCTTTCGTGATTCCAACTGTATTCTTATACATATTGGTTGTCAACATCAATGTTGCGAGTAAAATGGTCTTTGAGCAGAGAAGAGGTTGTCGTCAAAATGTGAAGCAATCACGCAATCGGCACCAATTGGGCGAACTACCTACAGCGGAATCAATAATAGCCAAACCCGTGGTGTAAATCTCATTTGAATTGGCCATTGCGCAACATAAGGAACTCCAAAAGACGACAGGGAAATTCCGAAAGAACGCGACGGAGGCCCAAATGACCAGGCTAGGGGAGGGTGGGTGGAAACACGGGCAGACGGGGAGACGGGGAAGCACGGAGAAGGAGACTAGTCTTTGGCGAGGCTAACTACCTACAGTATCCTTGTTTCCGCGTCACAGACCGTATAATAACAAGGCCAAGTAGTAGACCACACGAAGTTAAAGCGAGCGGGACACGGGGATGCACGGAGTACTTGAGATACGCATAGAAACCGACTCAGCCGAGCCAGCCAAGCGAGCTTGAAGATCCGTGTTTCCGCGTCGCAAGATGGTGTATACTAATTGCTCATCCCTCTGAACGCGTTCTATATTCATATCCAATTATTTGCTGGTTGAGATCTTGACTTTGGCCACAAAGTTACGAAAACATTGAACAAATGAGCAAATCACAAATGAAACGACCAAATTTTCTGGTGATTGTCGCCGACGATCTGGGCTACAGTGATTTGGGATGCTTCGGCTCAGAAATCGAAACCCCGTCGCTGGACAGGTTGGCACAGACGGGAGTAAGATTGACCAATTTCCACACAGCATCAGCATGCTCCCCGACGAGGAGTATGCTGTTTTCAGGAACAGATAACCATATTGCTGGGCTTGGGCAGATGACAGAGCACATGGCAGGCTTCGCTGAGAACTACAAGGGTCGGCCCGGTTATGAAGGTTATCTCAACTTTCGAGTCGCTGCGTTGAGCGAGATCCTTCAAGATGCTGGATATCACACTCTTATGTCTGGTAAATGGTACAAAAAGAATCCCCCGAAAACACAACTCGTATTGCTGCTGATTTTCCATACAATGATGAAGGCATTTGGGAACATCGGTAGAGACAGCACCATGCTCACGAGGGTTTGACAAGAGCTATGTATTCTTGTCAGGATGCTGTAACCATTTCAACTACGAGCCACAGCTTGATGACCCTTCACATGGGCTTTTCACGCCCATGAATGCTGGGAAGTTCTGGATGGAAGACGACCGCTTTCTCGACCGAAATGATCCTAATGATATCCCAAGCGACTTCTACTCTACTACAACCTTCACTGACGTCTTGATCGACTCTCTACGAGGACGAAATGATACAGAGAAACCGTTCTTCGCCTACCTTCCATTCACCGCGCCCCATTGGCCACTGCAAGCGCCACGCGAGACGATCGAAAAATATAAGGGCTACTATGATGATGGGCCGGCCGAGCTTCGAATTCGACGTCTTAAAAAACTTGTTCAACTTGGGCTCATACAAGAAGGCGTGGAGCCTGCACCCATGACAGTTGAATTATGGGATAAGATGTCTGCCATAGAAAAAGCCGAGTCAGCAAGAAAAATGGAGGTCTACGCCGCCATGGTTGATGTTATTGACCAAAATGTTGGGCGCGTCGCAGACTATTTGGAGTCGATCGGCGAGCTAGACAACACTTGCATCTTGTTTATGTCAGATAACGGAGCTGAGGGTGCCATGCTGGAAGCTATCCCCATGATGGGCAGCGTTGGTTCTGTCCCGAAATTGATCAACAAATACTACAACAACTCAATCGAGAACATGGGCAATGCCGACTCGTATATCTGGTATGGCGCTGAGTGGGCGTGCGCTTCCATGGCCCCTTCACGGGGGTTCAAGACGTGGATTACCGAGGGAGGCATTCGCTGCCCCTGCTTGATCAGATATCCAACCCTTTCCAAGTCTGGATCTACCACGGATGCGTTCTGCACTGTTATGGATATCCTTCCCACCATACTAGAACTTGCCCAGGTGCCACTACCGGGGAAGATATTTAGGGATAGGGAGGTTTTCCCCGTACGCGGCAGTTCATGGGTGACGCACCTGAACGACAAATCACCTGAGATCCATGATGAGAAAACTCATATTACAGGATGGGAGCTTTTTGGCCATAGAGCTATCAGACAAGGTGCTTGGAAGGCACTATACATGAATGCGCCAAGGGGTAAAGATAGATGGGAGCTCTACAATCTGCAAGTGGACCCTGGGGAGACAGAAGATCTGGCCGAGAGGGAACCAGAAGTGCTGGAACGACTTATCAAACACTGGGAGGTCTATTATGCCGAGTCTGGCATGTTTGATCCCGGCCATGAATTTAGATACACAAAGTACACATAGTTCACCACTTCAAGAATGTTGTTGGAACAGGATACCTTGACCTACGCAGCACAAGGTCTACTTTGAATGAGGAATGGGTATCTATGCGGTATCAATCTGAACACATGCTTGGTAATACATAAAGTCGAGAGTATTTGCCATTTGAGCAACGTCGCTAGCCCCTTCGCCCCAATACTTGAGCGTCCTTATTGTTGTCTCTATTAAGGATCTCCACTCAGAGGGAACATCAACGCGATCAGGGTCCAGTGCTGCGGCAATTATCATGGCAGCATAGGTAAAACAATTTCGTACTACAAACCAAGAGCCTCCATGTCGTGTATGAAACGAGAATCGGTGGACCATTCTCGCACAGAGGTCGATGGCCTTGTTGCTCAAATCTCGTATTTCTGAAGGAACGCTCATATTGGTATCGTGATGGAGAGCATAGTACACAATTGGCCGTAGTATATATTCACGCCATATCTGGGCTCTACCTTGAAGGGCAGATGCAAACTGAGTGACTGGATTCTCATCATCATGGAACTGTACTGCCGGTGGTAGATGCTCATGCCTTCAAACATTCACGTTAGTGTTTGCACCGTGCCAAGATATCGGAGAGCCGACAGGGAGCTTACCATGAGGAGACTTGCATTTCGCATTCATGATATTGCTCTATCAAATGCTTTGGATTTTTCATCCAATATGTCTCACCCTTGCGATACCAAAGATGTAGAGTTTCATCAATCATGCGCCTAGCTGATATCTCGGCCAGGTAGTAGGACCAACCCATCTCGTTGATGTGCTGTTGATCATATGGAAACTCCGACGGCGGAGTGCTATTGACCGTAGTAGGAGTAGAGAGCTCATCTGGCAGTCTTGGAAATGCCTCTGGGTATGAAAAGCTGTCTAACCCACTTGGCTGCAATCCTAACTCAAGAAAGAGCTCGCTACGGTATTTGTTAATCCGAGGACCTCAGAAGCAAGAAAAGATAGTAGTTCTTCGTCTTACCTCTCAGATCGGAAGCAAGACCAAAATAAACGCTGCTCTAAATGATAATCCTTTGGAGGGGGTCCCTGAAAAGATGTCCATGCCCTTTTACCACCTCGTAATAAGAGAGCTTCAAGCCTTGTCGCGGCTTGCTGAAGATAAAACCATGCCTCCAAAGGCCGAAGCATTGACTTCTCAAATATGTGAGCAAAGAATAGGCATTGGATGTCTTGAATCGAACGACCTAGAAGGCCGAGTCTCTTCTGAGCTGCTAGATAGTATGCTTTGGCTCTGCCAAGTTCCTCCACTGTTTGTGTTCGGAACTGCTCTTCGCTCGGAGGGATGGGGAAATCATTTGGCTTTGGCCAAGGTTTCGTGTACGCAGCTAATGCACAGGCCAATAGCTATAGCAAAACCATTTTTGAATCAGTATTTAGCAGTTGTTTTATCAGAATGAAGACCTTACCACAATGCAAGAGGATGAGTCGTACTGCAGCCCATATTCTGTCACTGTTTGGGCTTGGCGTCTGAGTTCTGCCTCATCCAACACAGGATTCCTTGGATGGACCTGTTCGAGAAATTTGGAGCACAATGGTACAAAATCCTCCTCTCTGATTCCCGGTCCTTCCGTTGTTGTCGACCCTTGGGATCCGTGTCGCGTCTTTTCATGGCCATAGCTGAGTGGAAATGATTCGATCTCAAGTACTTCAACCGGAACAACACTTCTCAACGCAGGCCACCGCACAATAGCTTCTGCACGTAGAGCTGAGAATGTGAACCTTGACCCCTCTGCATGGCGATATGCAGAAGGTGGACCCGGCACCTCTTGGGGAATTTGAACCGAGGAGAACCTTTTCCAGGGGCTGCGGCCAGGCATAGCTGAGTCCACCCCGATCAGAGGTGGACAAGGAAAAGAGGTAAATGATTTCATCGTTCTGTCATTTATTTGTAGCAGCAACTCCCGTAACTCGTCTAGTCGGTGTATCACTTCCCCTTGATCAGTTACACTTTGGTGTTGCGCAATACTATCCAGAACGCCCGGCTGTTGGTCGTCACCATAGATACATCTCGCCCCATTACGAACACAGAAGCCGCATTCTGGGCGCACATTGTCACATTTTGTCTTTCTCAGACGGCAGAATTGACAGGCAGAGGCAGCTCGCTTTCTCGGAGCAAAGTCTGTGGTGGTCAAGCGTCGTCTTTTGTTGGTAGCCAGCTCTTCTCCTCCGGCGGGGCTGTCGCTACCACCAAGGCGGATATATCCATGTTCCATCTGCAGCCAAGAGATTGGATTTAGTGAAATACCAGGCGCCCAAGCTACCTTGGTCTCAATTGAGCCTTGTGAAGACGTTCAAAAGCCGATTCGGGAAGACGGGGATGGACGGGGAAAGGCGGCAGTTTCAGTACATGAGAAGAACGCAAGAACGGAGTGAGGTGCTAATAAAGCTTCATGGGTCAACAGTCCTGGCTAAACTCTTCTGGCTCTTTAGCGATCGCGCAATATGACGTGATCGCACTGTGGATCCGCCATCTCTCGAAGACTGGGTGGAATTGTGAGAGTAAGATGACGTGGCTATAGTTTTGATTTAAATGTAAATATTCAACTATTTTATCTATATGCATTATTTATAAAAGAAAGTAATTGTAGGGGGATGTACAGTGAGAAGTAGAGTACAATGACTTACGGGTGTGGAGCACTCTAGCATTGGAACGTGGCATTGAGCCGCTTATTCCTAGTTTCTTGGAAGCAGTTGACGATACCGAGGGAAGATTAGGATATCCTAACTTAGGAAATTGATCATTGTTTTATGCCTCTGGAGTCGGTATCTATAACCATAATTGCTCCTCATGTTGACGGTGATAGTATGGACACATATGCTTAATTGAACTGATTGAACTGCTTCAGAAACAGACCAAAATGAACAGCACACACACACACACGCATAGTTATTTATATTCTCTTTTATTGAGAGAAAGGAATCGTAATAAGACATTTTACTACTGCCTTGTAATTTTCCAGAGAAGCTGGCTAAGTGGCATGAACTGAACGAGGTAGGTCCTACCCCTGTCCAACCTATCTTTGGCCGTTCGTCAGATCACTATTCACCGCTTTTATAACCGTTTTTGATGACTCTTGTGCTGGAACGGGTGAGCGGTAAACCTTTACTCCTTGGTTTCCTGTTCAGCAATCACGGACCCGAATCTCTAAGCCGGGCTCGTCTACGCCGCCCCGTCCAACCGTAGAAATGGCGTTCCTCACAATCCCACGCGAAATCCGTTTAAAGATTTTAACTTTCATTATTTGCTCACCAGTCGATCCGCCAAATTCACCCTTGGAAGCTCAGCGTGGCCGGAAAGAGCTGCGCCAGAAGGCATGGCTTGGTTACGCATGGATGGCTAGTGCAATATGGCAACTTCCACAATCCAGCTCGGCGTTATCGCTTCTGTTGGTGAACAAGCAGGTCAACGTCGAAACTAGATATGTGATCGAACATGCTCCTACGAATTATCATGTCGATGTTATGTTCCTCAAAGACTATGGTCTTTGGACAACATGGTCCATTCCAGCGCTCCCACGAACTCAATACATTGAGTCAGTTCATGCTACGTTTCGGATCTTTGAGCCTGAAGGCTTGAAAAAGCGCTTCAAACACTCTATGGACTTTGGTCATACCGATATAGGGCCACCGTGGAGTTCTTGGTCCTTGTATCAGATGTTGATGTCACTTTTGAGAGCAGGGCCAGGCTACATATATTCTTTACGGAGGTGGAACTACAAAAGAAGTGCAACATCTCAGTACATTGTCAGAAATATCATCATTGACATTCTAGCTCCTTCTGACGGAGCTGAGCATAAAAGTATGATGGTTAACAACGAAGACTATGAGGAGCGTCTTGAGTGGCTTTCGGATGACATTGACGACAACAATTCAGTACCCATGGAAAACCGGCTGGCCACTTACATGTGCAACAGTCTGAATACGCTTCTTACGCTTGATTACCACAGCTTGAATTATGGAGCTTTGGTGTACGAGGGCGTGCAGGATAAAATTCAGGTCCTGGTTAATGGTCGACCCTTCAAACAGTTCAACATAGAAGAGATGGGGGAAAACATTTCAATGCAATACTTCGGAGAATCGCCAGATCTAATTGTGGAACGGAAAGAAAAGTATGGGAAGTGGAAGTCATGGCTTTGTGAGAGGAGGCAGCGCATGAAACAGGGTCTTGAGCTTGATGGCAACCGGCCAGTTGAAAAAATCATATGATAGGTATACATAGCGTTGTCAGCGGGGGATCCCTACACCTCCGCCAAATCTTTGAATGAATCTAGAAGTGTTATTATTTTCATCGAAGCCCCAACGGTACTCTGTTTTATTGGCTACCTATGGAAAGTTATGTACACCGCAACGGAGTTTCCTCCTCTAAGAACAGTCGGAGTTCTTCTTGGGGCGGGTGTTTTTGAGGCTTTTCCGCCTTCAAGTGATTCCACAATAGCTTCTTCAATTCGGCTTGCTAATCTTCTTTTTCCCTTCCTCCCTTTCATTGCCTAACGCTTAGCCTTTGTTCATTCCTTTTAATTTAGAAAAGCAACGGAATTTTCTTCCAACATAAAACGCGATATCATTACATTTTGAGAATAATAATAATAATCAAGGATATATTCTAGCCTCCAGTATTGTAGGTGAGATTATAAACTATCAGGAAAATGCCGAGGAAGGCTTAGACTACCCTACGAGCTCTCATCATCCGTCAATTGGTCGAGTTGAGTGCTGTCCTCCCCAATTGCTTTGTTACCCGCTACAGCCGCCGCCTCCTTTTCTTTACGTGTGTCCCAGCCCTTGAGGACGTTTTCAGCTGCAATTTGCTTCTCTTTTCTTTCCTTGTCTGCAGCCTTTTCCGCTTCAGCCTTTGCATCCAAGTCTGCCTTCTGCTGCTTCATCAAGGCAGTGTTCTGCGCGATATATCCTTCATTTTCTTTCAGATTCGCTTCGTTCTTCTGCTTTTCTTCGACGATGTGTTTTCTCCCACGCTGCGCGGAATGTCCCAAGGACTGCATTATAGAGGCCTGGTCATTCGAAGTACCCACAAATAGATTTGCCACGTCTGTGATCTTGGGGTTCTTGGTCGGCTCATTAGGTTTTGACGTCAGAGCGTCCAAGGCTTCCTTTCGGGCTTTCTCGATCTGATCAGTCTGAGGAACCGATGCAGGCTGAGCAGGTTGAGCAGGTGGCGCCGGCCGAACAGGTAATTGACAACTAGGGCCAGCCTCTGACTCGGTGTCTGACCTCTTGCAAGGATTGTCAACCTTATTGACATTCCCCTGTTTGACTTGCTCAGTTTTGGGTTTCGTGACCGGCGGCTTAGATGCATTTTCAACCACTGATGTTTTTGTTGTAAATTTGGCAGGAGTTTTGGGTACATTCTTTGGAGGAGTTGAACCTTTGGATTGATGCTTAGCGTTTGACTTTTTTGCAGCGTTTGGTTTCTTGGTAACAATGTTCTTCGGGACAGTCTTGGCAGCCTTTTGCTTTTTAACGGCAGCTGGTTTCTTAATAGGAGATGGCTTCTTGGGGGCAACGGGCTTCTTGGGGGCAACGGGCTTCTTGGGGGCAACGGGCTTCTTGGGGGCAACGGGCTTCTTGGTATTGGCAGGCTTTTTGATAGGAGCTGGCTTCTTGACGGCGGCTGGTTTATTGGTGGAAGTGGGCTTTTTGATGACAGCTGGTTTCTTGGGAGCAGCGGGCTTCTTAGCAGCGGGCTTCTTAGCTGCGGGCTTCTTAGCTGCGGGCTTCTTGGTGTTGGCAGGCTTCTTTGTGGCAGCCTGCTTCCTGGCAGCAACGGGCTTCTTGGTGTTGGCAGGCTTTCTGATGGAAGTTGGCTTCTTGGTGGCAGTGGGCTTCTTAGCTGTGTTTGGCTTCCTCGTATTGACAGGCTTCTTGGCGGCAGCGGGCTTCTTAGCAGCGGGCTTTTTGGTGTTGCCAGGCTTCTTCGTATTGGCAGGCTTATTGAGGAGAGCTGGTTTTTTGGCGGCAGTGGGCGTCTTAGCTGCGGTTGGCTTTTTGGTATTGGCAAGCTTTTTGGCATTGACAGGCTTCTTACTATTGGAAGGCTTCCTGGCAGTAGTGGGCTTTTTGGTATTGGCAGGCTTATTTGTGGCAGGCTTCCTGGCAGCAACGGGCTTCTTAGCAACAGTTGGCTTCTTGGTATCTGCAGGCTTTCTGGCGGGAGCCGACTTCTTTGGGCCACCAGGCTTGCGAACTGTGGCTGGGTTCTTGGCTTTCGGCCTCTTTGATGTGACGCTGGTTACCGCTTTGCGGACCTTGTTCGCCCTCAGTTCGAAAGGTGCAACACCACGAGAGCCAACATGAGATGAACGTTCATCGTAATGTCCAGGGAATCCAGTTTCCTGATCTCGAGCAAGGAGATACGCGCGCTTGTCTTGGTGATGAATCTGTCCAGTAGTTCTGACAGTTTCCACTGCAACACTGCCTCTATCATCTCCCCTTTCATCGAAAGTCTTGAGGGATTGCCTAGACTCGGTTGAAATTCTGTTACCGGCTGGCGGGAGTGGAAACCCGACAATTGTGACAGAACTACCAAGGAGAAAGGAAATAGAACAAAGGGAGAGATGTTTTATGGAAACCATGATGGACGAGTAGAAGATGCGAGTAGGATGCAAACTGAGGCGAAAAAGAGTAAAGGTGACAAACAAATGAGTCCAGCTCCAAGTGTGAGAAAGGAAGGAAAAGAGACCAGCTCTAACTCTGTTTTTTTGTGTTTTTGTCTTAAACTTGCGGCTAAAACATATTGTAACGTAAAAGTGACCACTTTATATATACTCTCTTTTTCATCATCACATCCATCAAAGACCAATAGCCGACCAACAATTGAAATTCAGTGCTCTATTCTGATCCGTTCTTCTTAGGCGATCCGCTCGTTTGCATCTTGGAAGGTTCCAAGTAATATTGATTTTGTGTTGGTCGAGTGACATAGCATTTCTTTCTACCCGCCAATTAAGCCCAGCAGGTGACAGTCTTCAAATCCTAGAAATAACAACGCAAAGAACGTAGCATTGCATTTCAGTCCAAATCGAGCCTCTTGCGTGATAAGGCAGCTGATGAGGAGTAGGCCTTGACATCACCATTGGGTCGTTGGTCACTCATTGTAATATCAGATGCTATTCTTATCCTAGACAAGTACTGCTTGCTTTCTCCATTCTGAGATGACGTGGATCAAGATCAGGAATGCATTCGGGGGCCAATGGCCGCAGCGTATGAATCGCTATGGAAAGAAAATGCAAGAGAACTCCACTGTGAGTTCAGCTGGTATGTATGCAGCCTACTAAATATGTTCGCGCTATTCTTGCATATCTGTGTTGGTCGAGCCCCCAAGTCCCGATTAGGTGAGATGTATTTTTACCGTCCCTCACAGTACTTCTACAATGAATGGACATGGATGATGCGGCAATAGTTGCTATTACTCGGCTAAGCGGCTCTATCGCCTATGTTCCCGAGTGTGCTTGATTGTCTGGAAGTTGACAACCCAAAATTAGCTGTTAAACTCATGGAGCAAGTGTCCCTTGCTGGCAAAGGTTAGTTGGAAATAGAAAATCCCCTCGATGATGGCGTGATTGCTTGCGTGGTTTCTCGGTATCTCCGCAGCACGTAGGCTCAGCCTCCAATCCACCCGTAGGATTATCTGCAAGTGATGTTGCATCGCCGGGGTCACAGCTCAAAGTCGCTTTAGAACCAACAGCTCTTATCAAGCACTATGCCCAACAATTATGGCAGGACTCGGGCTGCACTTTTCTCATTGCTTGTAAGACCCTGAAAAGCGGCGAGAAATTCCATTTCGACGTGTTTCTCACACATTCCAGACCTATTATTGACTACTTTTATGCTTGCTCCGAGATCATTGAAACCGAAAATGGATGAAGCAGTGCCACTCGACCTCCTTGCGGTCGCAATGGACCCTCTCATCTCGTTGAGGGACGGGCACAATTCAAGTGCTCGAGAGAGCTGGGTTTACCAACCAAGGGTCTACAGATCTCTTGAAGTGTTTGTTGCTGATCGAGTTGGGGACCGAGGGCCTTGTACTTCTGATCCAAAATTACCTGGCGATCCTTATCGGTTTCGTTTCTCAGATGGCTTCTGTGTGTCATTACGCATTACGTGCCCCAAACCCAGCGATCCCGATGCGATCAAAGTGGAAAAAATCTCTCGAGTGGTTGAGTGGATCAAGTACCTTTCCACCAACACAAGTATTCCTATGCCGCACATCTTGTCTTTTAGCAAGGACGTGTCTGACGTCCTTCCGATTCTCGAGGTACCCTTTTACTTGGTGGAATCCATGAGGCGGGGAAAGTCTCTGCGCAGTTATTTGATCGCACTACGGGAATCTCAAACCGTTTCAGCCAACAGGGCGAACGAGATTCGGTCCAATATCTACGAGCAAATTTCTAAATATTACCTCGAATTGCGGCGTTTGACAATGGACCATATAGGCTCCGTGAGTGTAGACAGCTCTGGAGAGTTTGAAGTTACCAAACGCCCATTCACGGGTAGTATGGAATATCTCCTATCGCATATCCCCAATTATCCCATGCACGAGTGGCCTGAAGAGCCATTCAGTACCGCAGAAGATTATTTCTGGTTTATGTGCGAACAAAACATGACCGCTCTTTGGGGTTTGCGTACCCTAGGCATACCCAGACGACTGAACCCTGTCGCTGACGATGTTTTTGCACAATGGGAAGATGAGGACTTCAACCTCGATCCAGGAAAGGTTGCCAAGTGCGCCCGGCTTCGTTTTAGGGCCCGGCATGGTTTCCTCCAGCTTATCAAAGAGTTTGCAACGAGGGAAGAATATTGCAATGGCCCCTTTGTGCCAGCCATGCCGCACTTGGACTGGGAGCTCTTTCGTGTCGATTATGACCGAAGAACGGGGAAAATCAATCATCTCTTTGAACCAGCGACTATGAATTTCTTGCCTCTCCCATTTCTATGCATACCGCCTCCATGGCTTACTCTCAAGCCGGTGATGAGCTACATTGATAGAAATAAATTCGGCTCTTTTATCGAGCAGTATGAGAAGGAACTACCAATGTTCCTAGAAGCTTTGAGAACCGTGGAAGAGCGGTTATCAGACACAGGTACCATCCTAGAAAATGAGAAGCCGTTGTCAACTCTCATGCTCGAGTCTTGGGAAAATAAGAGTTTTTGGTTTCACTATGCTCTTGAAAACATGGAAGCTGTCGATCAGTTGTACTATGCGGTGCTCTATCAACTTCACCCAGAAGGGAAACCTTTTGAACTGTCACCAGCTCTTGAGGTTGAGATGGAAAAGTACGTTGAGCATAGCTTGGAGCAAATTTATGCTTGTCGTAAGGACTATGACAACTTTTTGAAGGAGGTAAAAGATTAGTCTAGTGATCTTCATGTTAACTGCGGCAATATGAGGGAATTCTGTTAGGTCTATAATCTACGCAATCTTGGAACTCTACATCATTGCTCTCCCGTGCATGTTCATGAGATTCTGTAGTTGAAAAACTTGATGTGCAACTGGTGGGTCGGTTTTGCAGCTGCCTCCGTTCCAAGTCGCGGACAGCCTGCTCAGTAGACAATGCATTAAGAGGCCCGAGTACGACGACTTGTTTCCAATCTTTCGGGTTTTGATAGCCAGCTGGAACATTCATTAGTAGTGCCGCTAAAAACTCGCATATCCACCACCATTTGGCATCCCGTGCCCCGATTCTATTACTCATAAAGGTTCCGCTATCAAGTTTTCTTGCTCGGCATGCTTCTTACTCAAGCGAGGTCGAACCTCATCAGCTCTTCCAAAAGTATTGGTCCATCCTCAGCTGACAGATTAGGCTGAGGAGATTCGTGTCTTGCGATGCCTCGACAAACGCGACAGGGTTCCCCTATGTTCTCTAGCAAATGCTACACAAATAGGTCGTTTAACTCCATACCATAATTTGAATTGAATCATGGAGGCTCGGTCAGCATCTGGAATCTTATGATTCAAGCCTTTTTATGCGATTATGCCAATGACTAAGAAGATTGCTTGAAGGCACAACTGCCTATCGAACCGACAGATACAACTATTGAGAATTTTGCTTGATATCTCATCGAGCCCTTTCGGCTATATCGTCGCTAAGCAGGGCAGATTTAGGAAAGATAAGGAATAGCGCGTAATCGTAGGGGAAACAGGCAGACTCCATTCGCCTATTTAGGCATTTTGCTTCTTAAGATACTGCACATGATACAGAACATTCAATCACACTTCCAAGTAACGGACCAATCCGAGAGGCGCTTATATTCAGCCTCACCGAAGCCAGGGTATTAGCTGATGACATGTGCATAAAACCCCTCACTCAAAAATTCCTTTCATTCCAAGTGGCCAAGTTATCTACTCTCCCAAGTCACTGACGATTTGTTTGGTGCAATCCGTTGACATCGCGAATGGAACTACCGCCCAAAGCATGGCATCCCCGGTTCTCCCATGAGTCCGAAGTGGAGGGTCAGAAGTTCCGCGCCGCGAGCAGCTTAATCCCTGTATTCGTGAAAGCCCGGCTGTGGAACTCTTGCAATCCAAATCTCGACGATTTGGTTCTCACGAACGAAGAGTTAGAAAAGGTGCTCTCAGATCAGGTATATACTTCCGGCGAAATGCAACAGCGTATTAGGAACTTGAAGCCAGAACATTGGCCATGCTGACACGCGGCTAGAAATCGTCGCTAGAGAACGACACCAACGAACCACCGGGGAAACCACCCAAATTAATTCTAATGTCTGGTGCTCTCGTTGCATGCTACTCTCCACTCAATGATCTAACGATGGCCACAGCTCGGTGTTTGGAGAGCCAGAGTCTGGAAAGGAAACGGGCCATAAGCTTTTGACACGATCGAAATGCCTCAGCAAACTACTTCACCTTGCAGGACTTCGCGATCAGCGACATGTTTCAAGGTTCATCAACAACAAGATACCTTGCACATACAGCCATGTAGAATACGAGGATGATGGAGAAACTCCCGTTTGCTTAAGTATGACGACGTATTTCTGTCTTCAATCCCCATGATACAAAGCTTACTCAATGTGATTCTAGCGGTTCTTTTCCTATGCCCCAAGCGCAGCAACAATATATTAGGAGCCGTCCGAGTCGACATCAAATCAAGAAATTGTTTTGCCTTCATCAGCTCCAGATTTGAGGCAGAAGGCCAAGATATCATATCTCGCTGTCGCCGAAACCTTGATCTGTTGCGGATAAATCCGTTGTACCTGCTCGTATTCATCTATGAGAACCGAGTCCAAAGATGGACCGATTGGTTTGAGGAGTCATGGCGGACTATTGTAGAAGCCGAGACGGCGACTAACATGATTCTTCCCCAATGGAGATTGAGCAAAAAACAACTGAACACGATTTCAGACTCTGACAGGTTACTCACTCAACTACACAAAACCCACATAGAGCTCTCAAACAGTCATGGTGCGATCTTGTATGGGCAACAGTTCGGTGATTCCTGCTACAAAGCTGTTGTCCAAATCGAGGAGTATCGGAAAAGCCTTGGGTACACGCCCCTTACAACCCGAGACTTGCGCGGTTTGGAGGAGGACCTCAATATGATGCACTCTCAGTCTGAATCAATAAAGAGCAGGGTGACAGCCCTTAGCAGCCGGTTATCCGGTATGATAAACGTAGTATGTGCTGATTCAGGCCCTCAAAATGAATGGATACAAGCTGATTTCTTCTATCTGCAGTCCTTCAACCTCATTGCCAAAAGAGACAGCAAAGTCAACGTGGCAATCGCAAAACTACAGGCCAGGGAAAGTCGAACCGTAAAGGGGATTTCGATCCTAACTTTCTCATTGCTTCCGGCCACCTTTCTTGCGGTACGCTGGAGTGGGTAATGCTAGGCTATTCAAATACTGATTTTATAATAGACTTTATGGACAACAAACTTATTTCAACTTGACGGATACAAAAACTCATTGGTGTTTGTTGGATCAGTACTAGGTTTGACATTGTTCGTCTTCACTTGTTCGTATATCTATAGCCGCGTGGCCCGGAAATTGGAAGAGACACGATGGCCAGACGCAGCTATAATGGACACGCTCAATATCCTGCCCCCGGCGTAAGTATCTTGATGGATGGATTCCATTGATTCTGCCACTCCGCAGTTATTCAATACTGACACTAATTGATCTTGACTCTTATTCTCTTTGTACATATTTGTATCCACAGAAATTCATCTAGATATCTTTCCACTTCTTAGAGGTGTAGTATAGTCTAGAAAAGCATCCGCTGTTTGATCTCCTGCTACGTATCTGTAGGTCCGGCAGCTGTGAGGAAGTCAAAGTCTGCTCCTGAATGAGCTTGCTGCACCGACCGCATGAACAGTCCCCTATACCCTCTGAGCTTCTTTCTCGCAATCCATACATCTGCCGATTTGTTGTTCTCGGATTCCGCTTCTAATGTCTTTCTCTTCTCTTCTTGTCGGCGCTTGATCTCTTCCTCTGAGACATCCACGTGGATTAGCCGCTGATCCAAGTCACACTTTACTAAGTCTCCTGTGCGGACAATTCCTAGTACTGAACTTGGGTCTGTTGCCTCCGGAGATACGTGAAGCACAATTGTACCGCCAGCAGTTCCACTCATCCGTCCATCAGATATCCGCAACATATCCTGGACACCCTTTGCTGCGAGTTTGCGGGGAATGGGAATCATTCCAGCCTCTGGCATGCCAGGGTTACCAATGGGCCCAATGTTTTGAAGAATGAGTACGCTGTCGGGCTCTACTTCGAGATTCGGGTCATCAATCCTGTTGGCCATATCCGCTGAGCCGGCGAATACAACAGCTCGGCCAGTATGCTTTAGGAGTGCACGATTTTTGGAAGCACTTGCTTTCATGACACACCCATTTGGTGCCAAATTTCCCTTGAGAACCACCAAGGAGGAGCGTTCGTAAAGGGGGTCATGCAGCGGGCGAAGAACCATGGTAGGAATATTTCTTGGGACTTTCTTAAGGGGCGTCGAGTCCAGTTCCTCTCCCAATGTATTCCCTTTAATCGTCAATGCATCAAGGTGTAACAAGGGTTTGAGCTCCTCTAGCAACGCTCGCATACCACCAGAGTTGTGGAAGTCTGTCATGTAATTATCTCCACTAGGCTTCAAATCCACAAGCAACGGGGTCTTCCGCCCAATCTCGTCGAAGGTTTCGAGCGTGATGGTTCCTGCCACATCAGGATGACGTCCAATTATCGCCATCAAGTGCACGACAGCGTTAGTCGAGCCTCCGATGGCCTGGAGGACAGTGATAGCGTTGAGGAAGGACTTGCGCGTGAGAACAGTCTGTGGCTTGAGCTTCAGCTCATGCATCTTCACAGCGAGAGATCCCGTTTCTTCCGCAATGCGTAACCTGGCCGAGGAAACGGCTGGTGCCGTGGCTCCCCAGAAAGGCATCATGCCCAGACCAACCAGGATACATGCCATTGTGCTTGCAGTACCCATCACACCACATGTTCCGGCCTGCAAGAAGTCAGCATGGAGATGCTAGCGAGGGGCCAATGCCTCCTTATTCAAACACATACCGTCGGCGCCAATTCTTCATTGATACCTGAGATTTCTTCAATATCGATTGCGCCAGCGCGAAATTTGGCCCAATTGTTTCGACAGTCTGTGCAGGCTCCAATCCGCTCGCCCTTGTGGCTACCGGGCATCATGGGGCCAGTGACAAGACTCAGCGCCGGCTTATTCGCCGAGAGGCCACCCATGAGCTGTGCGGGGGTGGTCTTGTCGCATCCTCCGATTAGAACAACCGAGTCGCACGGCTGCGCGCGTATCATCTCCTCGGTGTCCATTGACATCAGGTTCCGGAGGTACATACTTGTCGGCGAAGAGAAGGATTCAGCAATACTAATGGTTGGGAAGTCAATCGCCAGTCCCCCAGCCAGGTGGACACCACGCTTGACGGCCTCAATGAGCTGCGGGACATTGGCGTGACAAGGATTGAAGCTGGAGTAAGTATTGACAATGCCGATGATGGGTCGTGAGAGAGACTCTTCACTGTAGCCCATAGCCTTGATGAAGACTTTGCGGAGAAAGAGGGAGAAATGGGCATCACCATACGATGCCAGACCTTGTCGCATTCCTCCAGAACTGGAGTCAATGGGAGTATTCAGGTCATAGTCGTTGGGGGCGGGCTTTTCGCCTCCTCTTGTGTTTGAGCCTGCATCATTCTCCATGTTGTATCTCGCGTATCCTCAGCATATGTCCAATAATTCGACTCCAGAGCACGAGGCATGAGAGCAGAGAGCCCGCTCTTTATCTCTTTTGCCTTATCCGATCACATCATAGCAGACGATGTCGGAGCCAGGCGGCATAAATAAGCATGCCGTGATTGGCCGTTCCCCTTGACGGAGAAA